GTAAGTAATTCTGTCAAGAAACTATCTGTGAGATTCTGCTTTGAGAGTATTGCCTAATTACACCTCCCAGCAGAGGAAGCTGCAAGCCAGACCGTCTGTTGTTGTCCCATTTTTTCATGACTCTTAGATGCTAGAACACATCTCTCACTGTTGCAGCGGGGACATGCTGACTGGCGCATTCGAGGCTGGCTAGCCACGGTTCCCATTTTTGCTTATGCTAGCATCTCAGACAGTTACAAGATAGTGAACAACCTTCTCAAAATTCAACGTGAAAAGGGATGACAAAAGCGTTAAAAGGGATGAGATCAGAGGGCTGGAATTTACAGTGGCTGAAATTAAGTCTCCTGGAGTCCTGATGAAACCATTTTTGTGCTATGAGGTGGTTGTTTGTATTGTCAGTTTCCTCCACTCCACAAGACAGAACTGTGTGCTGTAATATACACAGATTTATCTTCTATAGACAGTAATTTCAGATACCCTGTCAACTTCTCACTTAGGCTGCAATTATTTAGTGACAAAAGATGGTGATTGCAGATAAATATATGAGAGGGGAAATGAACTGAGTTAGATAGCAGTGCAGTATGAAGAGCAGAATTCACTGTTTAGCCATAGTACAAGCTTGGGCGAGAGACACACATAGAGCCTGGTTGTACAAATGCTGCCAGCTAAGATAGGGTGTGTACCCATTGTCTGGGACTTGTGCATTGTTTGTGTGTGCCTTGTAGTGGTTCCTGAGGACGTTAGAACTTTTGCCCGATAAATATATACATGTACACTTAAAAACAAGCGAACAACCCCCAAAATATGTAATGATTTGGGTACCAGATCATTGTGTACTAGGTTTTCTCATTCTTTGGAACATAACAGAGGGATCATAGCTTAGTGGTGGAGATTTGCCGGCCAGATTCAATCCCTGACATTTTCAGTTTAAACAAAGAAAAGACCTGGTAGCAGATGTGGAACTGCGTGACTCAGAGGAGAAAGGATTGGGCTATTCTGACCTTGTATAAGGAAAAACAAATTATACTCCTGTGACAAAGGTTACACTCCTGTTGTAAAATGAATCCAACCAACTGGAGAGATGGGCAGATAGTAACACAATGGCGTTCTGTGAGGATGGACATAAAGTGTTACGGGAGAAAGTAAGCAAACACAGAAGCTGCTAGGCACATAATGCTAGGCACGTCCTGGTTGTGTGTTGTTGGCATGTAAGGCACCAACACTATCCTAAGTTGTGGCAACAGATCCATTGTTCCCCAGATATTGAGAAACAATAATACTGCCCTCACCTGCATTAATTCTGAAGACCACCTCCGACAGGTCATTAGAAGGGCTGCTGATAAGTGTGATGCTGTTACTTTCGAACATTTTTGTGTACAGCTTTGATCGCCCCAACTCCCTGCCTCATTCGTGGAATGTTACAAAGAACTCTTCCTCTTGTAGACTTTCGTTGTTTCCCCGGGCTTTCTAACTTCTTTTCCTTATGGCAGAAAAGCCATGAAAGAAAAAAGGACGAAATTTCCGCACAGCACCTTGTGACCACAGAGGGAGAGGCTCGTGGCTTTCACATCTCTCTTTCTAAATGTTTTTCCATGGTCTCCCCATGTCTGTGCATGGACACATGTATATTTTGCTGTATGTTCAAATGTGGGTGGCCCTACAGCATATTAATGACTCTCCTGTTATTTGCTGGGAGGACTGGGGTCATTCTAGTTTTCCCTCATTGACTTACACACATTATTGGACAGGCAGCCAAGAGGATCAGAAAGGTCTGTCTCTTACCCTCCTTTGTCCACCTGTTGTTTGTGCGTCCAAAAAAAATGGTGGTGAAGGGTTGATGATAGATGGGGAGCCAGCCAGCCTCAGCGATATCCATCAGTACCATTCTTTCCGTAACTGTTTGTACGAGATCAGGTGCCATGTTTACACCGCTCTGCTGGGAGATTTATTTTAATAAAAGCCTTTTAAGTAACTGCCATGCTTGCTAATGATAAAGCAGCTGCTTCTCTGGGTTCTCTGTAGCAAGTAATTTAATGCTATTACTTTGGCTAGGATGGGTTTCTATCACTCGCCATCTGCCCTGGATATCTGTTGACACAGCCATGCGATTGCTGGAAGCTAGCTGTGGCCAGGAAGGCAGCTGTAAAGGGATGGCTGGGTTCTTTATTGCAATGCAGTGTAGGAGGGCTTGCTGTGATCACAGCGCAGACATACCGCGCCTCTGACTGTTCTTCGTCGTGGCCTCTGTGCATCACACATATGGGTTCTTCCAGCGCAGTGCCTTTCGCTGGAAGATGAACAGCTAACGGTTTTTGGCGGGAACTCCGCTCCCCCTCCACTCTTGCCGTCTGGTTGGAGGACCTTTCCCCCTGGGGCATTTCCCTGAGGCCATGACCTCCTCCTCCTGATCTCAGCCAAGCAGCTTCTCAAATTGGGCTGATCTCCCAGAAGGGCCAGGGGAAGTGGCGGGGTGAGGTGCTGAAGTCTCCACCCACCTGTAAGGGTTCAGCCTGAGGAAGAGCTGCCCTCCTGGCAGGCTGCGTGAGAGGGCATCCCACACTGGCGCAGGACCTGCTGGATGGGGCAGGGAAGCAGGGTGGCAGCAGTGGGGCAGGGGCAGCGATCACCCCAGGTCAGTGAAGTCTGCTCCTGGATTAGCAGAGAGCTGAGTGGGTGCTCTGTCTGTGCCGCCATACAGGCTAAAACTCATTTTCTGTTACGGAGATCTGAGAATCATGAGAATTAGCACCTCGGGGCCCACAGGCTATACAAGGCCCTAGTTTTAAATCTTGCAATCACCATAGACCTCGGGACTCTCGGCAGTCGATGCAGAACTGAAGGGTAGCCAGCAGGTTGCTTGGAAAACAGCATGTCCACCACTGTGATTCTTCCTCTGTTGGGCACGGCCAGTGGGCATCCTTCCAGGTTGAGTTGTGTACCCTCCACAATCCAAGAATGCCTCCTAGAAAGAGGTCCAGAATCCTTTGCGACGTGCAGGGATTCCATGGCTGGCACTTCACAATCCCTGGCAGGCAAGCTGATGTAGAACAGACTCCCTATGGGCGGAAAATATTTGTCCTGTTTTTAAATCTACTGGCATCAAGGGCAGGACTTCCCATAAACATTTAATGAGTCTTTTCTAACCGCGTGGAATAAGTTGCATCTGTCAAAGAGAACAAATGTAAGAAAATAATTTGCGTTTGAATGATGGAGTGGAGGAAGCAAAGAAACAGAGCAAGTCAGAAGGGCTCTCCTGGGCCATCTAGTCTGACCCCCCGGCTCCAGCTGGCTCCGCTCACGACATGAAATAAGGGTCTCTTTATGAAATCGGTCACCTCTGACTCTTTGTCCCCAATTTTAGCCAGGAATGTTTCTCTCTCACACACCCATTAGCTAAAAGATAATCCTCTTACGCTGGTCTAAATCACATACCAGTTAAACTGAAATGTCTTATTTTCGCTTGATCTTTAAAAAAAAATATAAAACTTAAAACATTCCATATATTGGTTGGAAAGTAAATGTGCTTCCCTTTTTCTCCCTCCGCTTTATCACTAGTGGTGTTTCTTTTCAGCTCGGCCTCAGACATTTGGATCTTCTGTGTTTTATTAATCATTCTTTTTGTTAAATGGGAATGTCTTTTCATCTTGTTTGCCTGCCAAAAATAAAAGGTCATTATTGAAGTGTCTTTTACAGTCAATTCATAACTCTAATCTCAGCTTGTCTTTAATTCCCTAAGTGCCAACCTCTCGAAAGCTCTCATAAAATGCAAACTAAAAGAGGTTTCCTTTAAAGAAAAGTCTTATGTCATCATTTCTTTTGCTTCATAAAGGAAATTCCTGCACTCACCTTTCTGATAGTACACACGCTAGAAACAGGGAAATATTCTTTGCCTGCCAGTTAAGTGTTACGTACTGAATACAATTTCCTTATTAAAGGAGCCAAAATTCTCAGAAGTGCTACGGATGACACTTGAATGCCAGTCAGTGTCCAGGCCCAATTCAGTGTTCAGATACTACCTACAAAATCCTAACCAATGTGGATCCTTGGTGGCCTAAAGGATTGTCTCTTTTCAAATACACCTGCTCAGACCCTGAGCTCATTTCCAGAGTCCCTTCCCTGGATCCCCCTACAAAATAATATGGGTTGTGAGGCCTTATTCAGTGGGGTCACCCTGGCTGCAGAATATTCTTCCCCAGGGGCTTGTCTAGCACCTACTCTGTAATATTTTTGCTGCGAAGAGAAGACTTTTTTGTTTTCCCAGGCTTTTTAGCACTATTTTTAAACTATGCATTTCTAGATCTTTGCAGTGCTGCTGGCTTTCATTCGGATTTTATTTTGTTATAAACACAGAGTTTATGTATTACTGTGTTGCTATAATTTATGGCTTTAAGATTTGCTTTGTGAACTTGCCCAGAGGGGCCTGGCAGTAAATTTTTTAAATTATAGAGTTAAAAATAGTGGCATGGCACTATGAAGTGCCAAAAGCGTTGAATATGGCTTGTTTTGCACTTTGTAGAGTTAAAGATGTCATTTTGGGGGTAATCTCTGCCTCCACCAAAACTTGCAGCAGCAGGCTGTCCTGCAAGACACACAAGGACCACAAACGACAGGTTGGCCACCTGTGGTGTGAACACCTTGACAGTTTTACCTGGCATTTTCCCGTAGCTTCCTATGCTGCTGCTCCTTCCGTACATGATGAGCATGTGTCTGTTCTTACTGATAAATCAAAGACAGGCCCCTATCCTAAGAAGCTTAAAATGTTGGCCACTGGAAGACAACCAGCCAGTTGGAGTAAAGGATGGATGAAAATACAGTGGAACCTTGGACATAAATGCAGCAGGGAATGAAGGTGTGTGTGTGTGTGTGTGTGGTACCTTAACCAAGCCTTCGTTCCGTGTCGAGCCAAAGAGCCTCAGTGTTGCCTGATGCTGAGCCTCAACCAACTTAAGGACAATGTCGAACCTACTGATCCTTTGCTGTTTTTCTTGTTGCCGTTGCAGAAAAAAAGCCGAGAAGAGACATGTGGTGAAGGCAGCGGCGTAGAGATCTTGGAAAACAGACCATACACAGATGGTCCCGGTGGCAACGGGCAGTATACCCATAAAGTATACCATATTGGTATGCATATTCCCAGTTGGTTTCGGTCTATACTGCCAAAGGCAGCATTAAGAGTTGAAGAGGAGTCATGGAATGCGTATCCTTATACAAGGACAAGGTATCAAACACCCCTTCATTTACATTTCTTTTCTCGTACGCTCTTAATATGCAGAGTGCTTTGCAAAACCGATGGTTGGTTGGTTTTCACAGGAGGCCTTTGAGGTAGATCATGACAATGGCCATTTCACTGTGTGAAGAAATGAGGGTGACGGACGAGAGGACCGCTCTCCTCCTGGCAAGCCATTTTTGCCTTAATCATGGCACCGCCTGCTTGCTTACTTTATCGCCTTTTTATGCCGCCCCATAGCCAAAGGCTCTCTGGGCAGCTCACACTGCAATCAAAATATATTTAAAATACAGATAAAAATAAATAACAATAACAAACCATAGAACATAATAAAATTAAAATATAATAAAATACAATCATATAAATAGGAAACAGGAGGAAAATCAGCACAATATGACCAATAGCAATAACCAGTGTTATCTGACTTTGCTCCAAGGAGCAGTGGAGATTTTGAATCATGGTTTACTTAGGCGGCTGGTTATTTGTGTTAAGCATTCACCTATATGTAACCTCCAAGGCAGCCTCTCTTGGAAGCTTTCTGGTTTGCTATACAGCACTCTTAGTATCAGCAGTTACAAGACGGCTTGCCTGCTTTCTGCAGCATTTGCAGAAGCTGGGAGTTCATCTTAGGAGAGCCAAGGTGTTAATACATGCTGTGTCACGTCCACGAGGGTTCCTCCCACCTTTGGAAAGCATCTGTGTTCATTACGTGTTGCGTTGATGGTGTTGTTTTCAAAGCGCTTGGGAGTGAAGATGCTCTTAGTCTAAGTGTGCCGGCGGTTCTTTCTTTTCCAGGTACACGTGCCCGTTTGTGGAGAAATTCTCTATTGATATTGAAACCTATTATATCGCTGACTCAGGAGAGCAAGCCAATGTCTTCAACCTTTCTCCTGCAGAGAAAAGGCAGACACTTCTTGGTGAATATTGTCATTCCACCTCCGCCCCCATCTTTTTCTCCATCCTTCCTCACTGTTGCTATTGTGTGTATTTGTGTCTTTGCAAGTGGTGTGATTAACATAAGAAGAGCCATGCCAGCTCAGAGCAAGAGTCCACCTGGCCCCACGTTATCCAGCCAGCTACCCACAGGACCCTGCAAAGGGGAAGGAATGCCAGAGCGATTCCTTACAGCTGCAGGTGGGGGAGTGCAAAGCACATAGGTGTTCTGCCTGGGATGCAGGAGGTAGCCGATAGCTGTCAGAGCCAGTGGCCATTGATAGCCACATCCTCCATGAATTTGCCAAATTTTCTTTGAAAGCCATCAAAATGGGTGGATATCACTACATCCCGTGGAGGTGAATTTGTATACTTCAGCTAGATGCTAAGGAAAGATCTCCCTGCAGTCAGCTTCATGGCATGCCTGCATTCAGTTGGAGCATTATATGAGTGCGGGGAAACATGCCTACCTGTCTGCTTCCGCCGCATCGTGTGTACTTTGGTACACCTTTGTCATGTCTCTCCTTGTTTGTTCTTTGTCCAAACTAAACAAACTTTTCCTGATCAGGGAGTTGCTCCAACCTCTCAATCATTTTAGTTGCCTTTTCCGGTACTTTTCCTAAATCTATGGTATCTGTAGGTGTGGATTATTTGCCATGCTATATAGTTAGGAAAAAGGAATGTGGTAGAGTAGCTTCTTAGCATGCAAAAGCACCCTCGTTTAATCGCTAGGACCTCTGCAACAGGGCTAGGAAAGGTCTCTCTTTCGCTGAGAGCCCAGAAAGTTGCTGTTAAAATAAAAGCAGTGGTCTGACATAGTAGAAGACCCCTGTCCATGTACGTGATCCTTAACAGACGAAGCAAACAAAAATGCCACATATCTACCCTAAGGAACTTGCAGTTTAAATGCTGACATGAGGGAGGCGGCAAAGGCGGGAAGCAGGTGAAAGGCAGAGATAACAAAGGATAAACATAAGCGCAAAAATGCATCTGTTACACCGAATCTCTGATATCTGGTGACACTTTGGTGTGAATTACATCGGACAAATGTGGTGAATATCCCAAAGTTGGTGAGTGTTGTCAGTCACGTGTGTGTGTGTGTGAGAGAGAACGGTTAAAGATGGCTGGCTGTCTTCAGGCTTTCAACAAAATTAGTCTGTGATCGTCAGCCTTCATGGGTGAATGTCCATGTTCACTAAATGTTTGCCATTTACTGTGTACCCCCCACCCCCCCACACACACAAACTTGCTAGGTGACAAAGCACCATCTTGCATGTTAGAATACAGAATCAGCTTCTCTTGCTTATGGTGTGCAGGATTGTTAAGAAAAGAGAACAGAACTGGTACTTATTCCAGCGCCTGGGTCTGGTGATGTGTGTGTGTGTGTGTGAATGCCGGTGGCAGCAGATTGTTTAATTAGTTTTGCCAACACTGGCATTTGCTGGTGGAGGCAGAGAGGAGTACAGCGAGTGAGCTGTGTGACTGGCTTGTTGTTCTGCAGCTCCGCTTTTTGGGAAGGAAACGCCAGTGGTTTTTGCTTTGGGATTTATAAAGCCGTCAATCATTCCTTGAACTGCAGCCTGAGCCTCGAAGCCTCTCTCTGTGGAGCGGAGAGCCAGGGTGCTTCTACAGGCTCAGAAGCGAGTGTAGATCCTCACGCCATCAAAATGGCAAATTCCTGTGGTGCTTTTGGCATCGTACTGGCACACGTCAATCTGTACGGGCTTATTCACAAGGCCTTTTAGGTGGCTGGGGCATCTTTCGGAAAACAGCGCTTGGGTTGAGGCTGGGGTCGAGGCTCAATCAATCCTTCGCTCTAAACCGATTTGCAGTACCTATTTAACTTACCCACAGTTTTTGCAGACACATTTCTGCTTTTCCCATTTTGCAGAGAAATTGTTCAGCGTCAAGGAGAGTGACTTGCGGTGGCGTACCAAGTGACTCTGGGGCTGAGCTGGAATCCTAACCAGGACTATGTCCTGGGTTGGCCAGATCCAGCCCCCAGTCCGGCCCCCTCCCCCCACCGTTCTTTGGAAGGCCATCCCGCTTTCTTCCATCTGCTAGTCTCCCAGCTTTTATATGTTTTCTTTCCTGTTGTTGATACTGAAATGCCTCTCTGGGGGCTCAGTTCCTGGCAGTGGGATCTTTCAGCTGAAATATGCTTATATTTTGGGCAGTTTGGCCTTGCTTCCTCTTGGCTTCACCCCTGCCCCTCTGCCTGCCACTGGAATGCAGTGGCAGGGGCTCCTCCAAAATGGAACGCGGCCCTTGGGATGCAAGAGCGATGCCCCAGGCCTGCTGGAGGACGTGCCTAGGAAGCCCGACGGGATCATTTGCGCTCTCTTGATCGCACTGTTCACACATGCGCCTAAGAGGGGTGAGTGCGCAGCGCGGATGAGTATGTGCATCGCGTGAGCACATTTGTGCAGAAGGAAAGGGTATTTAAAGTCCCGCTCCTAGGAATTCAGGTCCTGTAGCCTGTACACACTATGCCAACGAAGCACATTGGCGTATCTGCTTCTTAAACCATTGTTTAGCCTTTGGCTTACGATGTTTCATTTGGCATTCCCCACACGCTTATCTCTGCAACCACAAAGGCTGGAAATGTACCCTTAGAATTAGTGTTAGGCTGTTTGTGTAGCATCATCACTGCCTTTTGCAAAGTGGAAGAGACGGATCAGGGATCCTGCTTAGGGACGCCATAGGTGGAGTAGGCGGCATATAAATATTGTGAATAAATAATAAATAAAAGTTGATACATCCAAGGTGGACAGGCAGGTAAGGTCAATCAAGGAAGATGATGCATAAATTTAAGTTACTCGTGCATAGACTTAGTTTTGCGAGGAGGTGGGAGCTGCCGAAGTTGTCTTGGAGGTGGTGGATTAAGTGGAACAGCTTGTAAGAGAGCCAGTTTCACGCAGGTGGACTGAAATGCGGCTCCAGTCTTAGGAGCTGGGTGGAGGCAGGTGACGGCTGAGTTTGAAAGCTGAGATTATAAGCAAGTTGCTTTCTGTGCCAGGCACCACGTTCCCCCCAGAACTGCAGCAAATGCGTACCTGTCTTGACTATGTCGGAAAGAGAGAAAAGCTGCCCCTTTTGCAGCGGCAGACCAGTCCAAGTTGCTTCAGGAGAGACGCTGCGGTCAGATTTGACAGAGAGATCCCTCTCGTCGCCTTCCTCACACTCACGTACCTCCTCAGAGCAAAGTTCCTATTTGTGGTGCTTTCCGGAAAGAGCAACTGCGGCCAGCGTGTGACCAGACCTGTCCAGACCGTTCAAAAACCAAGTTGTTGATAGCATTTTCATAGTTACCAAAACGAGACTTTGTTGTTTGGTGTTTACCTTCGCTTAGTTTACATTTCTGTTTAAATGTCTCATTCTGCACTTAGACCCTATTGATATTGTTAAAGATCTCATCCCTCCCCATGAATACAAGTCCGAAGAGGACCCCAGGCTGTACAGGTCAGTCAAGACCACCAGAGGGCCTCTCTCGGAAGACTGGATCAAAGAGCACAAGAACAACCCCGGGAGATACCCCATCATGTGTGCCTACAAGCTGTGCAAGGTGGAATTCCGATACTGGGGGATGCAGTCGAAAATCGAGCGCTTCATCCACGATGTGGGTGAGTCACTTCACCCCTCGAGCTTCCCTCTGTCTTTGCGTCCTGGGCTCAGCTGCTGGAAGGCAGAAATGCTCGCACTGCCTTCCCCAATCTGGTGCCCGCCCCCCAGATGCGTGGGGCTGCGGCCGCCGTCCCCCTCCAGCCCACGTGGCAACTGGCTGGGCGTGATGGGAGTCGCAGCCAACACGTCGGGAGGGGGCTGGGTGCGGGGGGGCGGTTTTATTTATTATTTATTTATTATTTATTAAAACATTTCTATGCCGCCCCTTGCCGAAGCCTCGGGGCGGCTTACAACATAGATAAAACAATAAGTTAAAATATCCATATAAAATAATCTTAATTAAAACACACATTATAAGATAAAATAAGCCGCCCTGGCCAGATAAAATTCAATTGTATTTAACATTTAAAATGTTGCTTAAATAAAAAGGTCTTCGCCTGGCGCCGAAAAACAAATAACGACGGCGCCAGGCGGACCTCTCTGGGGAGCGCATTCCATAACTTGGGCGCCACCGCTGAGAAAGCCCTCCTCCGAGTAGCCACCCTCCTAATTTCTCTCACGGAGGGCTCCCGGAGAAGGGCCTCTCCCGCCGATCTCAGGGGGCGACTGAGCAAATATGGATGTAAGCGCTCCTTCAGGTAACCAGGACCCAAGCCCTTGTGGTGGAACCGCGGCAAGGCAGGGCTGGAGTCCAGGTGGCTCCTTCGTGCAAGAGGGTCTGGCTCCAGGGCACCCTGGAAGGACAAAGCCGGAGAGCTCCAGGCCACGCTGGCTGCTTGGGGGGACAAAGCCCCGCTCTCTCTCGACCCTGCCGACTGACCCGGCATCTCCTCTGAGCACGTGGCCCTAGCGGGAGCCGGGTTCCCCCACCCCTCGAGCTTCCCTCTGTCTTTGCGTCCTGGGCTCAGCTGCTGGAAGGCAGAAATGCTCGCACTGCCTTCCCCAATCTGGTGCCCGCCCCCCAGATGCGTGGGGCTGCGGCCGCCGTCCCCCTCCAGCCCACGTGGCAACTGGCTGGGCGTGATGGGAGTCGCAGCCAACACGTCGGGAGGGGGCTGGGTGCGGGGGGGCGGTTTTATTTATTATTTATTTATTATTTATTAAAACATTTCTATGCCGCCCCTTGCCGAAGCCTCGGGGCGGCTTACAACATAGATAAAACAATAAGTTAAAATATCCATATAAAATAATCTTAATTAAAACACACATTATAAGATAAAATAAGCCGCCCTGGCCAGATAAAATTCAATTGTATTTAACATTTAAAATGTTGCTTAAATAAAAAGGTCTTCGCCTGGCGCCGAAAAACAAATAACGACGGCGCCAGGCGGACCTCTCTGGGGAGCGCATTCCATAACTTGGGCGCCACCGCTGAGAAAGCCCTCCTCCGAGTAGCCACCCTCCTAATTTCTCTCACGGAGGGCTCCCGGAGAAGGGCCTCTCCCGCCGATCTCAGGGGGCGACTGAGCAAATATGGATGTAAGCGCTCCTTCAGGTAACCAGGACCCAAGCCCTTGTGGTGGAACCGCGGCAAGGCAGGGCTGGAGTCCAGGTGGCTCCTTCGTGCAAGAGGGTCTGGCTCCAGGGCACCCTGGAAGGACAAAGCCGGAGAGCTCCAGGCCACGCTGGCTGCTTGGGGGGACAAAGCCCCGCTCTCTCTCGACCCTGCCGACTGACCCGGCATCTCCTCTGAGCACGTGGCCCTAGCGGGAGCCGGGTTCCCCCTTCTCACTTTCAGGACAACAAGCCGGTTTTTGGCAGCAGCTCTGTCCTCTCCTGTGTGCTTCTGGCAAGCTATAATCGGTAAAGAAAGTGTCTCTGAGCGTGCACGGAGATTTTGTTGAACCCAGACTATAAACGACTTCCAAGAACCCTCCTGAGAACCCAGAGCCCCCCTCTGGAGGGCCCGTTCTGAACAGGGGGTGCTTCCTAGCTGCGTGTAGCCCCTCGACTTGCCTGGCTCCTGTGGGCCCCGCCTCATTCGCCCACCCCGGCACTTGCACACTCGGGCCTGCCCAAACGTCTGAACCTTGAGGTAGCTCTTCCAGCAGTTCCATCGCGGCATCTGGGCCCCCCTTTCCCTGGGCTCACCCTCCCCATCGGAGTGGCCCGTGTCACCCTGGCCCTGGAACCCTGGCCAAGAGCAGCTCCCTTTCCGTTCCCACCAAGCGGAAGCGCAGCAGGTCTCGATGCCGTCCATGCACGATGGGCAGGCTTCCCTGGGACCCCAAGGGTGTCTCTCAGTCCTCATAGAAGGGGGTCCCTTGGACCCCAGGCATTGGCAGCCAAGAGCCTCCAGGGCATCTGCTGGAATCTGCTCTAGCCTTCTAGAATGCCATGGCTCCATTCGGGGCTGATTAAGAAACACTTCACCTCTCTGATCCCAAAAAGAGATCTTGGACAGTGCAGAAACGGATAGATTGACTTTGTCATTGAAAGAGAAAGAAGATACTGATTTCTGTCAAACTTGGGACTCTTTTTATTATTGGCTGGAGAAATGGGACTTCATATAGATTTAAATCTGCTTATAAATTATCATCAATGGAAAAAAGTGTGAGGGCTGACCCAGCAGGTCCGATGTTTCTGATGACTGATGTTGTTTTTAGTTCTTCTTTGTTTTAGGGTTAAATTTTGAATAAAACTTCTTATAAAAAAAGAAAAAAAACACTTCACCTCTGCCTGAATCCAGGTCAGCATAGGTGGGCAGCTTAGTACGAAAAGCAGGCACAAAGTACTGTGAGAATCAGGAACACCCTGAGGCCGTGTCAGTGGACTGCTGGTCAGCCAGGTTGCCTGTGTGTTTCGTCCCCCCGCAGGGTTGCGGAAGGTGATGGTGAGAGCCCACCGGCAGGCCTGGTGCTGGCAGGATGAGTGGTACGGGCTCACCATCGAGGACATCCGGCAGCTGGAGAAGGAGGCCCAGCTGATGCTGGCGCAGAAGATGGCCCAGTTCAGCTTTAACGAGAACGAGCCAGAGCAGCACCTTCCCAAAGATCCCCTGGGAGAGAACGACCTGGAACCAAAGGCCATATCGCCATCCACTGGGGCAGTGGATGCTGCTAGCAATATCGGAGAAGCCCTGTCAGGGCGAGTGCTGACCAAGCAATGGTCAACTTCTTCCAAGTCCTCTTCGAAAAGAGGAGGTGAGTCACACCCAGGATCCGTTTGACCAGAAATGCAGCTTATGGCTGATGGCCTCCAGCGTGCTGGAGTGCTTCCAGGAAGGCATCATTTAGTTTGGCTATCTTGCCCTCCTGAATTTGCAGTGAGGGTAAAAAGGCAGAAGCAGTGGAAAAATACGAGGTGGTTTTGAGCAGAAGACTACAATAACCAGACTGCCTGTCCACGTCTGTGAATGATGCACGGTGGATCTGTGATGTAGCCTCATCTCAAAGCAACTTACTGAAAATACAGAGGTTTTTTAATCTCGCCACCCATGCCAGGTCCCCACGATATCACAATCCCCTCTGCAGGCGCAGAACCCCTGCTCTTACTCTTCTAGCAACTTATAACAATGCCATTGTTAAGAATCCTGGCATGGGCCTTATGCTAGCCCAATTTCCTTGGCTTTTTACAATAGCTCTTGGAGAATTCAGTCATGACTTAAATTCTCTGTTAAGCCACCCCCCCACTTTCGTTTCTTGTGTTTGTTTGTTAATTATATTCATGTTCCTTTGAGGAACTCAAGGCAGCTTACACAAGCTTTCTCTTCTCAACAGCCCTGTGAGGTAGCTTAGGCTGAGAGTCAATGACGAGCCCAAAGACAAACTAAAAATACCCCAAGTAAATAAATAAAATAAATAAATAAACCTGAGGAAGAAATGCATAGGAGACGTCGCCATGCAAATGCGCTGCAGTGTGGCCTTTTTTGAGGACAGGATAAAAGTCACTCCTTAGGGAGCTCCTGTTTGTTCAGGACTGAATTCAGTCCATTTGTGAAGAAACTTTATACTGCCCGGAGCATGAATTCGTAATAGGTTTACACCCTGGAGGTGTTAAGGCCTTCGATGGAGCTGAGGGTCCAGAAAATGCTCACAAGATCGGGTTTCTTTCGCTGTGGTGTTGTGTTCCAGCCATGCTCTAGCTGGATACAGAGAATAGTTTTCTGAGAAAGGAGGAGGGTAGGGTTGTCCTCGGCTGTAAGGATGGTTCATCTACTTTTGTCATCAAACAGATTTTTTTGAACATTTTACAAACCTGCAAGCCACATGAACACAGATGGTAGCAGAATCGGGGCCCTCACTGTGCACGGGGTTCGTTCTGTGTTACAGTTGGATCACATCCCTAGGAAAAGAATTCTCTCCAGCCCTCATTCTTCCCGGACTTCTGTCATACTGTAGTATTTTTGTACCATGCAGGACAAGAATAGGTGGCTAGCAGGATCCCCATAATATTCAGCCACTGAAACACAGAGTGAACCAGTTTGGCTGTTTAATTGAAGTTTGCAATGCTTCCTCCTTCCTTCCATCCTCCTTCCCTCCCTTCCAGCTATTGATTAATAGCTTTTGAAGCCAAGCATTCACAAAGAAATATGCACAAAATGGAAGAAACAGCAAGACATTAGACAAAATACATAAGTGTTTGGTAGACATAATTAAATAGATACATAAAGAAAAAACTACTTTTGATCCTGCAACTCAGTTAAGGAAAGGGAGCAGTAAAAACAAAGATGCTTAAGGCCACATTGAGTGTCAGTACTAAAGAGGCAAAATAATGTTAACAAGAGTTCCACAGCTGTGGGTCCACCACCAAGGAGCCTCTGTTTCATATATTAGTCAACCCAGTTAATTTTACTAGCAGGTGTGTGCCCATCCTTCAAGGTTAATACTAGCATTTTAATTAGACCCAGAAACATGCTAGTAACAGTGCAACTGATGCAAACATTGTGTAAGCTTGTTTGTGTTTAGTTGTTTATTCAATTAAAATCCATTTTTGATTGGTTGAAAATATTCCCCTGATTAATCCAGCTGCTCCATTTTTAATTTTTCCATGATTAATGAACATGGAAGTAAACCATCTGCTCTGTTTTACATACAAATGCACCTTTAGAGAGGCATTCCTCCGATGCTAGAGTTGAAGGGAAATGCCTCTTCCAAGATGATACCTGATACGGTGAATCCAGTCATGAGGAATTCCCTTTGGAGCAATTGCATTTTTCTTCTATGTGCATTTATGCAGATTTTAATCTGTCAGTGGATTGGTTGACTGTCTGAAACTTGCACACAATGAATCAGCCTCGATTTATTTTATTGTGTGACCACCTTAGCTCGGGGGTATTTGAGTCTGCCAAGACATGTTTCCGAACTGGCAGGAATTCTAATAATATCTGAGGATTCAGTGGCGAATGGGAGGGGACTATAGAGGGGGCAGTAGAAATGCTTAATAATATGCCGGGCGTGGAGGCGTCTGCCATGACGTGGCTGCCTCAGGTGATGCGCTGCTCCTGCAGGCACATGTCTGCCGAGTCGGAGATGTGCAACACGAAACAAGCCTAGAGGCTTGATTAACGCGTGGATCCGATAATGATCTCCTGTTCCTTAACTCTGCACTGCACTGACCACGGCAAAATTATATGTCCTTCATTATAAATGTAGATGGCTTCTTCCTCCCTCTGCTCCCAGGTCATTTCTCCCAGAGGATTATGGATTAACGCAATCAGTCCACAGTCTTTCTACTGGGAAAGTGGTTGAAACCATGGAGGGGCTGGGTTGCAGGATGGGAACTTGCGCCAGGAGGAGCCTTCCCCTGCTCCGTTGCCACACATGATGAGATCGCAGGCCCCTTAAAGAGAATCTTCCTCTTCTAAAGTGGGTTTATGGGCTGGATCCTCTCCTGCTGCCTGCCATTCCAGCCTGAGTTGGGGTGAAGGGCTGCAGTTTGTTCCCAGTTTGTTTTCCAGTAACACGCTCAGGAAGCCGATCAGAAGTATCCTGTTCTAAGGCCAATAATGGCTTAGTGCCCCCCCCGCCCCCCAGTCCTCTGATCTTTCCATGAATACAGTTGCATCCCATCATCTTTGTGGGCTCACCTGTAGAACAAATGGGACCAGGAGTGGGGAATACAGGAGAACACAGGTAGAAGGAGCTCTGCTCCACTGTTTTGAGAATCGCTGCCTTGATAGGCCAGACTGCTAGCTTTCCACAGTTGCGTTTATGCAGAAGGTCAGGTGGACCCTCAAGCCGCACCGCCTTCCGCATCACCCCCAGTCCCAAGCACCACCGTCACCGAAGCAGCCCCTGCTTTGGCGGGCCTTGGGCCCCGCATCCTCGCTGCGTCCCCTCCTTCGGCGAGTCTGCCTTCGGCTCTTGCTCCTCCCCCTCTGCCTCCCCATCGCTTCCATTTCCTGCTCGACGACGGGCAAGAAGCCCGTGAGCGACTAGGCCGTGGCCTCCCCTCCTTTCCACCCCCCGCCCCGAGCCAGCGCAAGAGGCAGGTGCATAAGCAGGTCGTAGGGCTGGCAAGGGGAGCAATTCCAGGGGGCTCTGCCATGCTGTGATCCCTTGCAGGGGCCCCACCGTGCCCAGGCCGCCCCGCCACCCCCTCCTAGGCAAGCCCTGCGCCCTCCCACGGCCGCTCTGCCCCTGACTCGGGCACGGCGGAGCGCTGGGCACCTCTGGCTTTGCCTCTCGGCAGCTTGCCCTCGTCAGTGGCCAGGCACCCCCTTTTCCAGAGTGGAGGCGGCGGGTGAAAGCAGCAGGCGGCAGATCACGAATTGCGGAGTTAGGGAGTCCTCGGGCAGCGCTGGCCTCTCCGGGCTCCTGAGCTTGAGGTAGGAGACGGCTGCACGTCCCCGAGGGAGCCGCTCGGATGGCCTGCCGAGGGCTGAGGAGGTGCCTCTGCTGTCTCCCCGCGAGGCCCCGATCAGGCGCCTGCTTCCGCAGCGAGACCCCTGGCGTGTGCAGGGACCCCGTCGCAGGCCAGCCTGTATTGTCGCCCGTTCTATTTTGAGCCGGCATTGTGCGCGGCCCTTTGACGTCAGAGTTAGCTGTGCACTGTCAATCACTTTGTTTCCTTATTCCCGGAGGGATGGGGTGGGATAGCCGGGGGCTAGAGAGTGAATGCCGAAGCCATAATTAGCTCTGAGACTGATCCAGCGTTGTGGGGGTGGCCCAGTGGCCTTTCCACATGACAATTAGTAAAATTAGAATCCGAAGTAATTGCTTGGCATGTTCAGCCTCCTTCTGCTGGTTCAATAATAAGTGGGTTTTTGTGTTGCCATGTCACTTCACACAAGCCACGGGATGCTTTCTGGGGAGCTCCGTGTGAGTTTAATCGGCTCGTGGCCATTTCGCTGCCTTCGTCAGAGTAGCTGTGGTCGCGGGCGTTCAGTGCGCGTTCCCTGGTCCCTTACCAGAGTGGGGGAGAAGGAAAGGATGAGCAGAGCCGGCCCGGCTCCCAAGAGCCGGGCGAGCAGGTAGGTGGGGGCCACAGCCCAGGACTGGAGCGGTGCTGCTGTCCCCAGGGACGACAGCCCATGCCTGACTCGCAGGGGCGTGTCTTTTTCTCCTGATGGTTGGGGATTTTTCATCCTCTCAAAATCCCCCTCTTCGAGCTGCTTTCGTGTACGCGGAAGAGAGCTCTAGGGTTCCCTTTGGGAAGAGAGGCAGTCGGAAGGGGAGTGGCTTTGCCTCCAACCTTCTGATCGCAGCATCCAGAGATGCTTTTATGTAGAAGACAAAGTCCTTGTCGAGAGAAGGAAATACACAGTGGGGTCTCGTGCGAACCTTTGCCCGCACTTTGCGTGGGGCACACGAGAAAATCGGAGGCACGTTGGAGGTGTGTGATGCAGGAGGAAGGCCTGCAGGGTCAGACCCACGGCCTGTGTTGGCGGCCAGCTTGCCCTACCAGGAAGCCCCGAAACTGAACGGGGGCGCAACCACTTCCTCCCACTCACGGCCTCTGGCGACTGGCGGGCTGTTCGCCTTCTGCTTCAGGGGACTTGAGGTGATGTAAAGGCCTTCAAAATTCTGGAACCGTCCCTGAGCAAAAGCATTCCTCCCTATTGACAACGAAGGGCTTTTGTGGGCCGTGCGAAATGGCCTCCGGTGGTTCCCGCAGCTACGTGTTCTCCTGTCCTGCGCTTCATCTCATGGAGAAGCCAGCGATCATTTTTCCACTGCAAGGTGGCGATGTGAGAATGAGAGGCCTCTCTACCTGCTGAACGAACCCTTGGCCCATTCAGCCAGCCAGCCAGCCAGCACAGGAGCCGGTTTTCACGGCTACTGTCCAGTCTCAAACAGCTCAAGTCGAACACATGAACCCTGACTTGGGTGGCCAGCTGAGATCTCGTCGTCGTCATCGCCCTCCCCCAGAAATGTACTCCCCCCCTTGATTTTTCTGCATCCAACCTGAGGAAGGCTTCTGTGTGCCTTGAAAGCAGGCAAAGTACCCTACAGACGTAATTTTGCCCTCCAAATGTATTTATTCTGCCACCCCTTAATTTCAGAGAGGAACTTTTCCAATCAGGTGGCTTCCTTTTCTAATTGCCAACTTGTACAACCAAAATGCTTCTGCACATCCTCCGATGCTTATAAATAGCTGCCCTTTGAAAACAGCGACGGAGGCTTGCTGTGCCCTGATGTCTTGGTTGTGGGTTATAAGAATCATAAACAATGCGGAGCAGACTCAGGGTGGAAAGTTTGACATCATGCAGAATTCACTGGGTTTCTTGCGCCCCATGCTTTGGGGGTGGGCTTCCGCGAGGACCACCCCGCTATGCCTCTGCTGGGAAGGGCCCGCTGGGACTGCCCTTGTTCTCTGAGCAGAGGCCAAGTCGTGTATAAATCCGTTTTGTTTCTCCTAGCAAGCCCCTCTCGCCATAGCATTTCGGAGTGGAGAATGCAGAGCATCGCAAGGGATTCGGACGAGAGCTCGGACGATGAGTTCTTCGATGCACACGGTAGGTGGGGCACCCAAAGAGAGCGGCTGCTCCCCTGGGGCGGGGGCCTGTGCTTATGTGGCGGTGTGCGTGGGTGTGCACGTGCGGAATGTGTGCGTGCCTGTGTATCCCTGGCAGTGCGTGCGGGGCGGGGAGAGGAGCCGCTTCTGCTTGAATGGGAGATGTTCTGTACCACTGACGGAAAGGCTGAACCCCCCCCCCCCCCCCCCGGTCCAAGCTGGTCCTTCTGCTCACTGCGGGCTGTCACCGAATCCATGGAAATGTGCATTGATTTTCTAGCAGATGTGGCCCAGGATGTTTTGGTCAGTGAACAAGAAATGCAAACAATGATCCTAAACGAAGTTACTGGCGATTTGCTGCTTGCTAGCAGCACCCCAAAGTCTGCTCCTCAGAGTGGTTGCTCTGCTCTGCTCTGCTCTGCTCTGCTCTGCTCTGCTCTTCCTGATGATTTTCAGCTAAGGGTTTGGAGCCTGCTTAATCTTCGTTCCCTGGGTGTGATCATGCACTGAGTGGAGGGAAGGAGTCCACGCTCAGCATAGTAGGGTTGGGGTAAAACAAGGCAATGGCTGTAATTAGTGGCTTGCCTGTGCCTAACAGCCTCGTTGCTGCTTTTTGTGCTTGGTCTGGACAGACGGCAAGAAATAGCGTTGCTTGCAGTTGGTGTGCTATGATGTACTGGTTAGGCTTGCGTGGACTAGTAAGGCCTGGATTAAAATCTTGGCTTGACTGTAAAGATCAGTAGGCAGCCTGGGGTCCTTTGCTGTCTTCTCCTCCTCCTCCGCGTTTATTTTTAAAATGTTCTACAATAGTAGCTTCTGCATTAATAATAATGGAAGCTTAAGGAGTTCCAGTGGCAGGCTTACAAGCTGAAAATCTCAGTGTTAGTTGAGGCTAAGAACAATCACGGGGTGGTTTTGACAACGAAATAGGTAGCCCCACATCGCTCTCCCCAAGCTGGGCCTTCCAAATCTTTTTGGACTGCAAGGACATTTGGGAATCTGAGAAACTGTTGTGCGCACCCTTTAAACCTCTTCTGCCCAGTGTCTTTTGTCCTTGAACCATTTAAATGAACTCCTCTTTTGGGGAATTGTAGAAATTCGACCACAACACGATGCGTTGCAAGGTGTCCACCTCAGGCGGAGCACTCTGGCACTTTCAAAACCCATAATTTTCTGTTTGCTGCATTGGATGTACCACTCAAATCACCAGCAAAACGTCCACACAGACATGCCCATAAAGTGATACTCGAGCAAAACAGCTCCACATGTGGTTGGCCTTCTGTCCTTTCCTATCCCATTTCTTTATTTTCACTTTTTCTGGCAAAAAATAAGTAAGTGTGTGTGAGAGAGAGCAGAGGAGAAGTCCTCTTTGAAAAAGAGCATTCCTTTTCTATCACGTATTATTGGAGTGCCTTTAAAATACGAAATGTTGTTTCACTGCTACATAAGCAAGCAGGTAGGTGCCTGCCAGTGGATTTTCCACCTAAACTTTGAAGTAACGCAGAGAGTGGCAAATTGTTCCAGGGGCTGTTTGCTGAGGATGTTCTTCTATCAAATATGCTTCCAGAGCAGTTTATATGCCTTTAATAAAATGAGACAGCCCTTGCCTGTAGGCCTATAACTCCAAGATACTTGACACAAAAGGAGGAAGAAAAGAAGATGACTCAAGCACCAAAGAACTACTCATGACACAGTTCTTCTGGTGGTCAGTTAGAATGAAAACCGTTCAGGGAAAGAGGAGTCCAAAGGAGCTGGCTTTTCAGCAGGGCTGAGGGGTAGCTCTCCTTCCTGTCGCCTGGGGAGGTGCACGCCAGTATAGGTGATGTCGAAGAAAGCGACAAGAGCGCTTCACTGCCTTCATGACTTGTAATCTTAGTGGCATCCGGCTGGCATATGGTGGGGAGGTGATGCTGGATTTAAGGTGGGCTCCTCAATCCAGGTGGGATTTAGGTTTAGCATAAAAACACCTTATGCTAAACTGAGCTCACTCTGCTTTGGGTTTAGCCCCTGTGGCACAGAGAGGAGGGACATTTCAGTGAACACGCTGGGGCATTGTGGGCAGAGACGATCTGGGGGCATTGTGCATTTCAGCCTGGATGCCAGTGCGGTTTGTATTGCTAACCCATCCTTGGTCCAAACCTTACATTCCTCAATTTCTTTTCTGTGCCTCCCTTTGCTTGCTTATCCAATAGCACCTAAAGCCAGTCAAGCATTTGCTGGTTTCCAAAAATGGACTTGAGAGATGGAAAATTAGATGCATGTCATATGTTCCATTTCTGCTTCCAAGAAGCATTTGCTTTGTCCTGCTTGGGAAGGTATTTGTCATCCTGCGGTTTGGCTTTGTAGACTGTGCTTCACCAGGGCTTCTCCTGACCCAGGTGTTAGAGGTATTTCTCTGGGCTTGCAGGAAGGAGGGAGGGAAATATCTCCCTGGACACGAAGCACCCTGCACAGGTGAATAAGACTTGAATGCCTGTTTGTTGTAAATATAGGAGGAGGACTTGTCATAAGTTGCCACTACAGAAATGAAGGTGGTGGTGGTGGTGGTTGTGTTTTGAGACAACATTCTCTTGCAAACATAGCCTCTGCCCGCAAGAGTCACGCAACTTCATCCCTTCACGGTTTTGCACAGCACTTCTAAGGACCGTTCCAGAACATCCAGGTGTCTTTTGGACCTCAAAGGGTCCAGTTTTGCCAATGACGACTAAGCAATGCCCTTTGCTAGAGAAATAGTAGAAGAGAAGGGTGGTGCATATAAATACTGGCATAAGCTCAGCCTTCTGCAACTTGGTGCCCTTCCAAATAGTTTGGACTACTGCTCTCAGCATTCCTGACCGTTGGGCGTGCTGGCTGGGGCTGATGAGGCTGGAACTTCAAGATTTCTCTGGGCACCAGGCTGGGTGAGGATGCTTTATATGCTGTTCTTGAATATTATGCAGATACCACATCCTTCCAGAATGTGACATGCGACTGAGCAACACATTGCAAGGCTGAGTTGCTGTTTGCACATGCTGCTTTTTCCAACGCGCCCCCCTCCCCCATGGTTAATATTTAGGATTGTCCATTTTCTCAAAGGACTTAGCTGTACCTCGGCAGCAGCAGGCCAGAAGCCATATAATATAAATATGTGGACACGTGTGGTAAGCTTTGGATTCCATCCAGTCTGTAGTATTTTTGGTATATTTCCAGCCTGGCTGGGAAAAGCAGCTTGTGGGATTTCTGCCTTGTGCACCAAAATATCTTGACTACCTTTGGCTACTGTTTTGAGGAGGGCAGTATCCTGAGGTGGCCCCGAGCGTCCAGAGAATACAGCACTTCCCCAAACCCGTAGGAGAGGGATTCATGACCAGGAAATCTAAGTCTGTGTCTGAAACCAGGTGGTAAAGAACTCGATTGTACGGTTGTAATAGATTGTGCTTGCTGCAGCCTCCAAGCTCCTCGGAAGAAACAGCGCCCACTGAAAATAATTTATTAGTGCCTCGCCCTGCCTGTTCTTATTTGGGGTATGTCGATTGCTTCAGCACATCACAACAAGAGCAGGATCTAGATTTATTTTTTTAATCTTGCAAGCCTCCCCGCATGCTCTCGTTTGCTGGCAAAGTGTGACAAACTGAATTATTAATATCAAATACCTGTGTCATAAAAGATGCAAATAATGGGTAGAGGAACCCGTTCGGTGATCACAGAAAGCAGCAGCAAGACCTGTAATTAAGCTTCCCAGGCAAATGGGTTCAATATTTAGATTAAGTTATAGGAACAAGCTTGGAATGTAAATTCCCCCCTCTCTGTTCCTTGCAGCTCTGACAGTGCACACTGTGCTCACGCACCCCACCCTGCAAGCGCATTGGGCCACGGGCAGAGACCTTCCTTGGAGAAATCGGTGCGGTGCGTGCATCAGCTGCACAGCAACACCGTGTGTTGAGCTGTGGGGAGGGTGACACTGATTTGGGCAAGTTTGTCTCCTCTTGAGCAAGCCCCTGTCCTGACTCTGCAGTATTTATCCCAAAGAAACAGTGACCTCCTTCTCCGTAGACTTGAAACATTACCCCATTCTGAGATGTAGTGATCGGGACCATAGCCGGTTAATTAATGGGTTAAAGGCAAGAAAGTTACCTGTTTGGACAGTTAATAGTTCTGTCAGGGGCCGTAGTCCATTTTGACGCTCCTTCTGCAGAAATGTAAAAAGGGGGTTTCAAAGGACAGCAGGCGCAAGGAGATCTGCTTTATACTGAACTAGATCTGTGGTCCTTCTAGCTTAGGGCTGTTGACACTATTGGACAGGGGCTCTCCAGGATTTCAAATAGGAGCCTTTCCTAGCCCAACTTTGCCAGCCCAGTCCCAATCCAAGCAGGTTTTTGGGTTGGGTCAGGTTGGATTTTTCAGCACTAGTGTACAAGGCCCCAGAGAACTTGGGAATGAGGTAGCTGAGAGCGTTCTTTCTCTCTTACCAATCTGCCCAGTTCCCTAGGCCATCGGATGGTGTGTCCCTGGTGGTTCCATATGGACCTTTACCCTGATCAGACCTCCCCCCGAAAGCCTCACGCGTGGTGGCTCTATTCCCGCCTCTGGAGGTCAGGCGGGTGCCAGCATGGTATTGTTTCCAGCATCCCATTAAAACACTTATTTAAGAGGATTGTCAGAAACGGAGATGAGCGCCACCCCCTATAGCCGCTTGGCTAGCAGAGTAAAACCTGCAAGGACCCCTTTCCTTCCCCTTCCCTTTCCCCTTTCCCCTTTCCTTTCCCTTTCCTTCTTGAGCAGTTGTTGCAAGCAATACAGCATTGGTGTCTATGTGACATTCAGAGGCGGGACCTATTGCACTGAAGTCTCTGCCCCAGGTGGATTCCAGTCAGGTACTAGGTCCTTGCAGTACAGTTGAGGTGCCGCATTCGGTGACTTCCGCAACCTGAAGGGTCGGCAAGGGAGAAGGCGCTCTGACACGCACATCAGGCATTGGCCAAGGTCAGCACGGATCAGACAAGTGGGCCCTGGTGCGGTTCAGCCCTTGTGTACACTGCAACTTTAAAAACAACCTGAACAGGCTGGAAGGCGACCGACCAGTCGTGACGCTGCATATTCTTCTGGCAATGTGTGCTCTGACGTGGCTCGCATTGTTTTACCTTCAGAGGTGGGCTCCGGTCTGATCAGTAGGAACATACCAACAAACTCTGCAGTTGGTTCCTTTTTAAATTCCCAGCTACCACCTGTTCCAGTGACCACCTGCGGCAGGTTGATTGCTATAGGTAGTGACCTTGGCACGAGCCGTTTCCCTACATCGCCTTCTGTTTGTTTTCCTTCTTTTACCCTGAGTCAGTTCGTCCTGGGGCACCATATCGCAAAGGACTATGAGGACATGATTTCTGAATCTGGAGGTCTGTGCTTATGGTTTTTCCTCCCTTTATACTGTGGTTAAGGAGTGAAGTGTGTTGCTTTATACCCACTGAACGTCCCTTTAAAAATTCCAGAATTTGTAATGTGAAGCCACTTCATCATCAGGGGTGAATCCCATTCCCATGGGGTAGTTTGGTGGCCAGCTGGTTGTCAGTCCTTGGAAGCAGTCATGGGAGAACACACGCTACTTCCCCCAGACTCCAGCCTGGGTCCCTCTTCTCCCCTCTTAAGGGTTGAATGCCCTTAGCCATGGGTAAGGCTTGCTATGTTGATACAGCTTGTTTAAATGCTTTAGAGTCTGCAGTTAGCACGCTTGTGCAATACCTTCTCTTTGATGCACAAGATTCTCTTTATCTTTCAACACTTCTGATTTCCTAATCTCAAGAACTGTGGGTTTTCTGAGCACCAGCTTTCCATGTTTGCCCTGCTAGCCTCTATCGGTTAGGAGTTGGCCCAAGACTAAAAAAAGAGCTTCTGACACCATGTTCCATCTGTATTTCTGAACATAATTGTTGCCCTCTCTCTCTTCAAAGAGGGCCTGTCTGAGAACGAAGAGGTGTTCCCGAAAGAAATCAGCAAATGGAGTTCAAATGATCTCATGGATAAGATTGAAACCCCTGAATCTGAAGAAGCACCAGGTAATTTCTTTTTAGAAAGGAATATTGTATGGGACAGTAATCCTTTTACAGTTCAGACTTTACGCAGTGGCTCTCTCAGTTGGATATAGACTGTCGGTCCCCGGTTCGCAAAACTGACATTCATTTGCCTGCATTACAAACCAGTGTCCGTTTTATACCTGTTAAACTTCCCCTATAGAATCCTGGACACACACGGTGTGGCAGCCACTCCCCCACCTGGGGTGAACCCTGTTCCCCTGGGGAGGGATGATCCAACGTGTTCATCCTTTTGCTGATGTTGAGATAACTCTCTGCATGGATTTTCCAAACCGGAGGTTGGAAGCAGGTGCCATGTACCCGCAAACTCGGGCTTCTTCCTGCTGCCTGTGTTGTTACATGAAGGAGTACTTACAGATGTCCTTTGACATACTGAATCCTACGAATCTTGCTGTGCCTCTTGCCTCTTGCTGTGTGAAAGAAAGAAGCTCTGCTCATGCCATTGATCTCTCTTTCCTTCCAGATGGTCCATGTCTTGGATCAGCAGCGGAGTACAACGTTGGATCCAGCGTGGAAAGACTAAGTATAATTGAGGCATGCCATCTAAATAAATCCCTTTTTCTAGCATGTTCGAAGGGGGAAAAACTTACAACACTTTTGTGTGAGCAATGTATTCATTTCACATCCTGCCTGCTTGTCGCTGTGACCCGGTAGTGAGATCCGGGGCCTTACCGAACCTTGAGACAAGATTTGGTGTCTCAAGGAACTTTCCTTCCCTCTGGAAACCCTACCAGATTAACTACAGCGTAACTAAAAGTACTGCTCAATTTTAGTTGCAAAGGAAAGAAACTTTATTTATTTATTTAGAATTTTTGTATGCCGTCCCATCGCTTATAGCCTCGGGACGGCTCACATAAATAAATAAACATAATACATAAAATAATACAATTAAAAACCCAGAATCACCCTGGCTGCAAAATTAAAACCTATAGGTATTATTAAGAGTTGTTAAAATATCGTTTAAATAAAAAGGTCTTAGCCTGGCGCCGAAAAACAAATAACGCCGCCGCCAGGCGGACCTCTCTGGGGAGCGCATTCCACAGATGGGGCGCCACCGCAGAGCAAGCCCTCCTCCGGGTACTTTGCCTCCTGATGTCTCCTGGAGGGCTCCCGGAGGAGGGCCTCTGCTGCCGATCTCAAGTGGCGGGAGGGCAAATATGGCAGCAGGCGTTCCTTTAGGTATCCAGGTCCCAAGCCATTAGGGGCTTTATAGGTGATTACTTATATATGGCGATGTGACTTGCTGGACTGCCCTTCTGTGTGCTTTCGAGAGACAAAGGTATATTTGCAACCTGCTTTTTGGGGAATGGGGGAGGAGGGGACAAGCTCTCAAGGAGCATATTCATTCTTCAGTGCTCTCGCCTTGATGAGCGGCCAAGGGCATGTGCTTCATGTCCCTCAAGCTCCGAGGTTAAATATGCCAACTTGACAGAGAGCTGATGCATCTGTGGAAGGAGGAGTTTGTGGCTACATGCAGTACACTCTGTGCTTTCCAAGTTTGCTGGACTCCGGTTCCCTTCACCCCACTCACCAAGTTGTAATCTCGGCACATCTGGAGGTTGGGGAAGGGCAGTATAGATTATTCTGGCCCTTAGAGGAGCAGCAGCTCCACATAGAGAATGCGGCTGTCTCCTTCTTTAGCAGTAAGGCACGAGAGACCAGCAGCCTCCTTCCAGACATATCTGTCTTCATCCTGGACATGTTCGAAAGACATTCTCGTTGGAACAAGAGGCGGTGCTAAAGCCCAGGTGGAGCTCGGGAAGACCCAAGGCCCAGCTCGTTCATAGAAACAGAGCGAGTCAGAAGGGGCCTCCCAGGCCATCTAGTCTGACCCCCAGCTCCAGCCGGCTCCATCCATGACATGCCCACCCTGTGAAACACCCTCACTGATGGGGCCTTAACCACCTCCTGTGGAAGCCCATTCCACACACCGTCCCGTTTTTCCAGCCCTCCTCCTCCAGTCACCACCACCATCACCAGTTCAAAATTCTCCCTTTGCAAGTTGTGGCCAGCACAAGTTATGAAGAACTTTTAAAATTCTCACTCGCAAATAAGTTGTCCCCCCATACTCTCAAGGCCACTGACTTCTGAAGAGCCAGTATTCTGTTTGCCTTGATAAGGTTTTTGTTTTGTTGTGCTTTTAAAGGTCAGCCAGTGTGGTATAGTGGGAAAGAGCACAGGACTGGGACTCAGGCAGCCTGGGTTTTAGTCCATACGCAGCCATGGACCGCACTGGGTGACTTTGGGTGAGTCAAGGACTGTTAACCAAACCTCCCTCACAGAGTTGTTGTTGTGGGAATAAGATTGAGAGGAGGAGGAGGAGAACTAGGTAAGCCACTTTGAGTTCTTTAAAAATTAAAAAGCGGGATATAAATCAAATAAATTATAGAATGTTATGCTGTGCTTGCAGTATCTTTCCACCCCTTCCCCATGAACTCTGGAAGAGAGAGTCAAAGTCTGTTCTGCACTTAGCCTGATTTATGAGGAGAATAAGCATGTAGAATCACGGTATACAATTAAGGCACGAATGTGTCAAACACAGCATGAAAACAATCAAATGCTGAACGGGTTCCAGGAAAGTACTCCACGTTTTTGGTAACCCTCCCAGTGAATCCCTTTTGTTTAAACATCATCATCTCTCCTGCCACAAATGCAGCCATTTATAGTGCCCAGGCATCTACTGTTCCAGCTACTGAATTCTTCCGGTTTCAAAGGACAAGGTGCTTCACCACTACAGTTGCCTGGTATATCCATAATGCTGCACGATCTGAACATTTCTGGCTGTTTCACGTGTGTCCAGGAATCCTTGTTTTGCAGCAGAAAGGGGATCTGCTTGTCTGGATTGATTAATGGAGCTCTCGGCAAAGCTTTCTGGGCGCTACTGTTCCACAAGAGCAACTTCAGAAAGGCTCACAAATGACCTGTTATACTGAGAAGTGCGGAGAGCTTGGCATAAACCCAAAGGAACTTTGAGATCCACATAGAACAAAGCCTTCTAAGCTCTTTAATAAAGTGCTTGGGGGGTTTTCTCCCACCAGCTGGTGTATCTTGAGGTCCTGGTGAAAAATAAAGTGTACCCCACAACCATAAGGGTGCAGTAGTTTGGGCCTTGGATCCAGATCGATCTAATTTTGCATGTCTTTCTCCCTGCCCCCTTGCAGGATGAGACCGTAACTCCAGTAGCACCGCCAAGCAAAATCCATGTCCTGCTTTTGGTTCTCCATGGAGGGAACATCCTGGATACGGGAAGCGGCGATCAGAGCTCCAAGCAGGGGGACGTCAACACCTTTGCCACTGCATTTGACGCCGTCATCAGGGTCCATTACCCAGCGGCCCTTGGGCGTATCGCCATCAAGTTAGTTCCTTGTCCAGCCATCTGCTCAGAAGCATTTTCTCTTGTTTCCAAGTGAGTTACTGCTTGCTTTCCTCCAGTGAGTCTTGCCTTCTTGTCATGTGCCTGAAATACAGCAGCTTCAGCTTCATCATCTTTGCTTGCAGGGCAAGCTCTGGCTTAATTTGATCTTGTTTGCTTTTCTGTTGGTCCGGGGTATTCTCAAAGGTCTCCTGTAGGACCATATTCTGAGTGCATCGCCAACAGAAATTCTTGCCTGGATTAATTGGGAAGTTCAGGACAGTTAAACCACTATAAAAATGGATCGCCACATTTGTTATTCACCCATAGGGCATTGCTGTTATCATTCATTATTGATTTCATTTCTCAATTGCCCCACATGGTATTAACTGTCTGGGAGGGTCCCAACAATTTGCAAGCTTCACTAAAACAAACCGCAGATAAAAATACAGCATAAAATTTCAATATACAAATGTCTGAGCGACAGCTAAAAACCATTTCAGTAAAATACTAAACTTGCTGAACCTAGCTATTGCGAATGCCATTCAATGCCTGGTTTTAGCGTAGTGCCAAAAAGAGGACGCGAGTTCAGACCTCAGTGGGAAGATCATTCCACAGGAGCCCGGGAGCCACCCCCGAGAAGGTCCTCTCCCATGGGGCCACCTTCCTGCTGAGCCTCCCTTGGAGGTGCCGTTCAGGGGAAGGCTTCTGGAAGCATATCTGGAAAGCTGGTGTGGCGTGGTGGTGAAGAGCACGGGACTGGGACTCAGGCGACCTGGGTTCGAGTCCCCGCTCAGCCCCCCATGTCTCCCAACTGGAGACGCAAAGCCACCGCAGTGCTCATTTTCCACAGCAAAATCAACCCCACCTGCTCCATCACCATGATTTGGGGCCTGCTGCTTCAAAGGCCCCAGTTTGGGGGTTACCAAGCTGCACAGAAGCAAGAGAGCCAGTGTGGTGTCGTGGTTAAGAGCGTGGGACTGGGACTCAGGCGATCCGGGTTCGAGTCCCCGCTCGGCCATGGAGCCCACTGGGTGACTTTGGGCCAGTCACAGACGCTCAGCCCAACCTACCTCACAGGGTTGTTGGTGTGGGGATAAGATGGAGGAGGAGAATGATGTAAGCTGCCTTGAGCCCTTTGTCGGAAAAAAGCAGGATATAAATCCAAAAATAAATTAAAAAATAAAAAGTCCATATGAACTCCCCGGCAGCCAGGCCAGAAAAGATGTTAGCAGGAGAGACCTTCAGGTCCCGGTTATAATCTGGCCGCCGTGTTCTGCATTGGTGACTAGCAGGGACACCCTCTGCCTGTGCTGTTCCAGTGGGCCGCTTCCAGCGTCCAACCAGTACCATAAAGAAACTCGAGAGGTCTGTGAATCAGCCAAGTTACTCTGGCAATAAAGAGGCAATTGCTTGCTTTTGAAACGACAATAATAAAGACGTCTTGAAGGTTGTGTAAAAGAGCCATTGCGATGATCGGTGCCACGAGGCGGGCTACCAACAGCGACTTGGACAAGAGAGAGGAGCCAGCTGAATCAGAAAAGCCAGAATATAGAAAATGAATAAAATTAAGGGAATGAACGATAGTGGTTTAGCTTGGTTGAGGGTAATACAGATGCAGGAGCTATATAATGGACCAGAACGTCCCGACCTATTTGACGGTGTCTTTCCACAGCAACCCATGTGTCTCGGGAAGCCTCAAAGCGTTCCCTTTTATTTCCATATGTAATGAGCCAGAACCATATTTCCATAAAGACATCCATGTCCTTGTTGCCCCTCGCGGTCCGTATTTGTTTACTGAGCTTTTCTGCGAATGCTGTGTCGTCATTGCAGCAATGCTCCATGATACTTGCCTTGCATGACCCTGCTGTCCCGTCTTAAGACTCTGCTGCGGACTCTGGGCGTTGCAGAATGACCCTGGCCAGTCAGATGCAGGCTGCAGAGGTCCCACGATGCGTCACAGAAAAGGGGACAACCCCTAATGTTCTGCCTTCTCTTTAGTCTCAGCCCGTACAGTTATGACGAAGGCTGCCTTTCCAACAGCCAGGATCACACGCCACTCGCAGCGCTTCCTCTGTTGGCCACGTCATCCCCGCAGTACCAAGAGGCCGTCTCCACGGTGATCCTGAGAGCCAACCAGGTGTACAATGAGTTCATCAAATCCCAGGAAGGTGCATCATTCAGTGGCCAGGTGAGCAGGCTGCCTTGATGGAGGGGATGCAGGGAGCAAGCTGCCGCTTTTCATTTCTTGTGGAACTTCATGAAGGAAAAAAAAAAAATCAGGGCTCAGATTAAATAGCTCTTAGCTGATGAATCCATATGCGGTGTTAAGTATATTAACCAGGTGATTACATCTGCATATGTTTTCTATGAGTAAAGTAGTAAATAACTTTTTTATTGTTAAATGATAAATGCATCAGAAGAGGCATGCCCTTTTGTGTGTGTGAGAGAGAGAGGGGAAAGGTCTCTTTTAGTACCTCACGTCACTTGCATTTTTCTAAGTGAAATATCACCAATTATATATAAAAAAAAGATTAGAACATTTAAAGTCTGTTACCTGCCACTCGTATGTCCAAATTTACTCCAGATTTTTCTGTTGGTGTTCTATAATGAGAACAATGAATGGCTTTTGTTTTCCCTTGCACAGGTGTGTTTGGTAGGGGACTGTGTAGGAGGGATCTTGGGCTTTGATGCTCTGTGCTGCAGCAATCAGACGATGTCAGAGAGTCAAAACAGTAGCCGGCGTGGGAGTGTCATAAGCGTGCAGGTACACACACACACACACTCTCTCTCTCTCTCTCTCTCTCTCTCTCTCCCTCCCTCCCTCCCTCCTTCTAGGCTGGCAAGAAAGCACACTTTTCACTGTGGAACAGTCATTATATACATTATATGCGTATGCTTTTATGTAGCTCATTTCACCTACATTATCTTTAGAATTCTAATCAACTGAACAGGCTGCCCTTGTTTCAAAGGAGAAGCAAGAGACATGATTGTTTTTCTCCCTAAGGCCGTGCTTAGTGAAATTTCCATCCAAAGCGTATCTGATTTGCATCGTGAGCATAAATGTCTGCCGGGTCACCATTAGGTTGTCCTTGGTGACGTGTTGTGCCCACAACCACTATTAATATTACAAAACTACAGCCTGCCCCTCCGTTCCCTCAGAGAAATCGCTGGTGTTTCCCCTGCTCAGTCTTGCCTTGATTTCAACATCCGTCCTTCTGTTCTCTCACCTTGGGTCTCTCACCTCAGTCCAGCTACCCTCATGGCTCCCAGCAGGTAGTCCCCCTCCTCAGATTCCTACACTGGGTCATTTCTGGCCCCCAGATGCAGTCCAAACTCCTGTACCTGCAAAGGCACCCACCCCACTCTTCTGCATTGCCCTCGCTTGCATCACCCTGTGAACTTGGCTCATCTGGCTTCTCCGTCCCCAGCTGTGCAGAAGACTTCTGCTCCCTCAGACAGCTCCAGCCTCCCTCTGTCTCTCGCTGCCCCCAAGACCAAAAGCTGCTTCCCAGAAAACTGTACCCACACGCCACTGCCACCTTCTCCAATGGGATGGTGGGGGTTGCACTCCAACACAGCTGGAAGGTGAAAGGTCGAGGAAGTCTGCCCTCTCGCGACTGCGTCTGTGCAGTTGAATTAACCACACCTGCGTCCCATTTAGCTCCCACCTCCCCTTCCTTCCCTCTCCTCTCTCATTTCCTCCGGGTCAGAATTTTAAATGATATGCTCCTCGGGGGAAGGATTGCTGCTTTTGCTCTCTGCGAAGCACCTTGCGCTCTGACCCCACTGGCTCTCTGCAGCCACCTGTGTCCCCGCGCCAGGGATGCGTTCCAACCCCTGGCAGCCCATCGCGTGGGAAGAGGAAGGTGAGCCGAGAGGGAAGGGGTGGCCCAAGCCATGCCATTTCGTCATCTTTTGAGATCATCTTTTCTCAGGCACTTGACAACTTATGAGTTGCTTCTGACCAGACCTTGATTCTTTTTCTGGCTTGTTCTTAGTTGCATGTGTGTCTTGCGATGCGTGTTATGTTTGTACGGACATGGCTTTTATATGATATTGTAAAGATTCTAATCTTTATAACCCGCACAGAGAACTTGGTATAAAGGTGCAGTACATGACACTAAACAAAATTTGGCCCCAGCCCTTGTCTGCTCTCACCTGCGTCCAAAAGCAGCCCTGGGCGAGAAAGACTTTCCTAGCCCTGCGCTCTGTCAGGGTTGTTAATAACGTGTTACACTGATCGCCAGAAGGGTAATCTTAATCACAATGGCTGGATCACTAGCCTGCCACCACACCGGGGGGGAGGGGGTCACACGCTGACATCCAGCAAGTGCAGTGGCCGCCTGGGGGTCCGCGGAGGGGCTGTGGTGGCCTTCAGTGCTTGTCTTCGAGCGGAGGGTCAGCAGGGCGATTGCCCTTTGTCCGGGGGTCTGACGCCCAGGCCTTGTGCCCTTCAAATTCCAGGACACTGACCTCTTGTCTCCTGGAATCGTTGTGAACAACAGCTGCTGCTCGGCGGGCTCCAACCTGGAGGCCAGCCGACACCTCAGCCGGAGCAACATCGACATCCCGCGCAGCGACGGAGAGGACCCCAAGAAGCCGCTGCCGCGGAAGCGGAGCGACTCCTCTACCTACGAGCTGGACAACCTCAGGCAGCACCACGCCTTCCTCTCCAGGTAGGTGTGCGCAGACGCCGCGCATCGTGTGCCGAGTGGCTTTCGGATCCGTCCCGAGATCTCCCCGCGCTTGGTAGCCCATCTTTGGAGGCTGGAAGTGTCAGAAAAAACACTGACAGTGGACCTGTCCAGGTGGAAACTCCAGTAAGAACAGTGGGAGGTTTTCAGCCAGGCGTCAAGAGCTGGCGGCACGCGAGTCGAGACATTCAATCTGGAGCTTTCGGAAGCAGTCTCTTCCCCCCACGCCCAGATGGTTTGCCCTGGGGGGCGGCTCTTTGAGTGGCAGCCGCGGAATTCCAGCAAGCAGGAATTCTGGCAAGCAGTAGAACGGAAGCCCCACTCCTTGCAAGCAGGGGCCAGTTCAGCGCCCCAGCACTGAAGCCCCTGGGGCTGCCCAGTGGGGACCGTGGCCTGGGCTTATGGAGGCCTTCGCAGCCTCTGCTCTCCCTCCACGGGCCGAGCGACGCCTGGTCACTGAGCCGCTAGGCGGGCAGATTCCAGCAGGCCCGCCCGCGCTTGTCCGGGACGGGTCTTTTCCCTGTCATTGCACGAGCAATGCGGTCTTCTTTATTTCTTTCTTTATTTTCTGATTTCTATCCTGCCTTTTCCCCACAAAGGCCTCAAGGCAGCTTACATCATCTCTCCTCCTCCATCTTATCCCCACCACAACAGCCCTGTGAGGTAGGTTGGGCTGAGAGTCCGTGACTGGCCCAGAGTCACCCAGCTGGCTCCATGGCCGAGCGGGGTCTCGAACCCAGGTCGCCCGAGTCCCAGTCCCGTGCTCTTCACCACTGCGCCACACTGGAGCTGCAAACCTCCCCGGGGAAGCCTCCATTGCTCCCCTCAGCTCTGCTTCCAGCTTCCCCTCCCCTCCGGTGTCTGCGTCACGGACATGAGCCATCAGTGATGTCTTCTGAGCCTTCCGGGCAGCATCCACAGAACCCTCACGGTTCCAGCAGCACAGTTCGAAAGACCCCGATTGAAGCACAGGGATGGGAGGGTGGCGGGGGCAACTCATGGCAGGTGTCACCAAGCAGCAGAGGCAGCGGTGGCCTGTGGACTTCCTGAACAGGAGGGCCTGGAACAAGGCAAGCCAGTTACAACACAGAGTTGAACGGGGAAACCATTGGAGGGGTGGCTCCGGCGGGTGGAAGGGTACTGCAGTCTTGTGGCTCGGCTTGCCCTCCTCTTGCCCAAAAAGCTGGTAGCTCTTCGGTCCCCGGTGAGTGGCCAGGACAAAGCGACCGACGTGTAAGGGATCACATGAGGAAAGGCTGTGCTATGTTATATATGCCACGCGTGTGTGACTTGACGGAGAGACATTTTATGCAAGCATGCAGAGATGAAGGCGCTTCTCCTGCCAATTGTGATCTTTCGATTTGTCTTTCCTCTCTTATTTCTTTTCTTTTTCTTCTCTTTTATTAACCTCTTAACACTTGTCCCAACAACTTCTTTGAGGAAGAAATAGGTAAGCACAATTCGTGGCTTTCCATAATGTAGAAAAATCTAGAACATGGGGGAGCCATATGGAAAGAAGGATTCTTAAGTGGTAAACCTGCACATGCTTACCTGGGAGCAAGCCCTGTGGAGCACAGTGGAGGTTACTTCTGACAAAAAAGACGTAGCATTGCATGTGTGTTCAGGGACACCGGACAGGGAAAGACGGCAATGCTGCATTGGACCGACTGACTTTTTGAATGCTTTGCGAGCTTTTAAACCTGCTACCATTCTTGTCTCTAACCATAACTATAGGAGCCAAAATGATTTGCAAGGTGTGCCTGGCCTGGAACAACAGAAAACAGACTTTCTCCAAAATATCTCAGCTGGAAATTTAAAAATCAGATACGATTTCAAGTGTGATAGATGTCCCCTAAAACTTTTGGCCAACTTAACTGCATAATCCTTACCTATTTTCTATTGCATTCTGTGGCTAATACAGCTGCCAATTCTGGTGTCCATATAAGCACACAAAGAGATATTTCTTAACAATATATTGAGAGATTTATATTGAGATTTATATCCTGCCTTTTTCCTACAAAGGGCTCAAGGCAGCTTACATCTTCTCTCCTCCTCCATCTTATTCCCACAACAACAACCCTGTGAGGTAGGTTGGGCTGAGAGGCTGTGACTGGCCCAAAGTCACCCAGTTGGCTCCACGGCCAAGCGGGGACTCGAACCCGGATCCTCTGAGTCCCAGTCCCGCGCTCTTAACCACTACGCCACACTGGCTCTCAATAGATGCAGACAGGATAGGGTTTTTAAAAAGGAGGGCTGGGGGACACAGAATTTCCTTGGAAATGTTGCTTTTTCCTTTTTCCAATTCCTGTTCTGCTGCTAGAAAAGATTCCACAATCAATTCAGCATTAAATACAATACTTAGCATAACGTCACCACAAAATACATCTTAACTACTGTTAGTAGTCTGCTGCTAACGTAAATGGCGCTGAAGCTCTCCAGTGCTGAAGCACCAGCCCTCCCTCCAAACGCATTTCCTTATGGGCACTTTCCAGTGCATTAAAGCTGTACGGACTGCATGCATCACTCAGCACAGCATGATGTGTCTTTATAATTGTCTGTCTAGTTGCATTGCTCTCCTTGTTCTTGCTTACAGCCCATTTCCTCCTCTCTCTCTAGTTTACATTCCAGTGCCCTGAAAAACTACCCAGGATCACGGAGGTCGAGTAGCTCCACTGCACTGGATGGCGGGCATCTTGGGAAATTCGAATTCGAGATCACGGACTTCTTCCTGTTTGGATCTCCTTTGGGGCTGGTCCTCGCATTACGGAAAACCGTCATCCCATCCCTTGACAGTAGGTTCTGGCACAGGGCAAGAGCAGTGCATGAAAGTGCTTTCTGCTTCGGAAGGGTTTGGTGGGCAAGGAAGCGAAGCTGCAAAGCTGGAACTATAGGCAGCCAGGCAGAGGTAGCATTCATAGAGCAGTGAGATGGCCTTTATTATCATTTTCCTCTCCAGGGCTGAGTTACGGGCAGGGCGAGGGGCTGAGTCCCACCAGCCCTGTTGCACCAGCAGCCAGACCCACTGGACCTAGCAAATGTAAACAGCCAGGGCTATCAGGGCTTCCTCAGTGGGATCGCAGGACTGTTGACTCCGGCCTCAGAATGACCTCTCTGTCCTTTTCCTTGCTTTGCTGCCATTTAGTCTTCCAGCTGAGACCAGCCTGCCAGCAAGTCTACAACCTGTTCCATCCTGCAGACCCTTCTGCCTCACGCTTGGAACCTCTCTTGGAAAAGAAGTTCTACATTTTGCCTCCCTTTAATGTCCCACGCTATCAGAGGTTCCCGCTTGGGGATGGCAATTCGGCCCTTCTGGGTAAGTCTCCTTTTTCCTGCTACCGAACTCCCAGCGCTGGTGGCCCAGCTCAGCCCTTTCCCAGCCACGCCGGCCAAGGCCCCGGAGAACCGCATTTCCTTGCATCTGGAAGGCACCAGCCTGGAGAATGCAGACCAAGCTTTTCCAGGGAAATACGCTTAAATGTTCCTTCCTGCAAAAGAAAACTGGGCTAGGATTTCCACTCTCCCCAGAGTATCCGGCATGTTTCGTCTAACTGTAAGTGGTAGAGGACACACAAGATGAATGTGGATAGACTGTGCCTTTTGGTCTAAGTAGGGCAGAGGCTGCCATATTTCCACATCATTGTTACCCTCCTGAAAATATTTCCCTCCATTGCTTTTCTCGGAGCCTGGAAATCGGCCTCAGCAGAAACAGCGGGTGGAAGGACTGCTTACCCAGCTCTCCGTTCTGACAGGGGAAGGTGGCTCGGTCTCCCTTCCTTCCTGCTGCCTCTCTGTTTCCAACTTCCATTGCTACCCACTTGATAAGTAGGCAGAGCTGACCACCTTCACATCTCGCCAGATTGTCCTTTTCGTTTCCTGTGTCCAGAGTTGTTTTAGAACTGCTGTAAGTCTCTGCTTCCATTCCTGTGGCCACATGCCTGTTGTTTTCTGCCCCTCTTTGTTTTCTTCCTCGCTTACTTCTAGTTGAAACAGTCCAGAGCAACCCCGTGCTCCTCGTAGAAAGCAGCCCCCTGGTTGCTCTCCAGAACCAGGAGACCTTCATGGAAACCAGTATCCCTGTTCCCATCCTGAATTGGCAAGATGTTTCCAGTAAAAATCCTGGATTTGTTGAGTGTGTGTAACCTGCCCTTCCCCTTTCCCGTATTGTCTTATGTCGTTATCCTGGGGTTGCGGTGATGCTTGATAAACACAGTCACACACGCGAGCACACACAGGCGATCCTGAACGCTTTCTCAGGCTGCTTAAAGGTTGACTTGATCCTCCCAGAGTAAGGAATAAGGGGCAGGAAGATGGCTGCTTTTAGAGGATCAAGTAAGAGGTAAAATGTATTTTGTGGCTATACAGAATCCTTAGCTACAGAGTGCGCACAGCAAACGTCAACTACAAATTAACAATTAGATAAACGGAAGGTTGCATTATGCTGGTTGATGACTAATGCAGCAACCTGAGAGTAGAATTCTTCCCCCACCCATTGAAGAAGATTTGTGTGCCCCTCAGAAGTTTGCCCTTCAGCATTTTTAACATTACATGGTTCCTGGGCACCCACTGGCTAGATGCACCTACCATGACTTGTTTTTTAAAGAAGCGACATCTTTTTCCTTCCTCATGCATCATAATTCTGCAAGGCACAAATTGTAGGAAAGGTGATAGCAGCTGATCCAGGAACTGTTAATTCCCAAACCAATAACAGAAAGGGATTGAGGTACAGAAAAGACATGTCTGTTTTCTCTGGCACTGCAGGCTGGAAAATGAGTCAGCCAATTGCCGAGTCATCCGTTTTTATTTATTTCTTTATTTGCTTTAATTTGTCGCCCCAAAAGGCTGCTCTTCATTCTGCTTCCATGGAGCAGTGCCCCTTGCTTGGAGTTGGCCACTTGGGTTTACCTGCCCGGATAGGAAATATTCATCACAAAACACCTAAGCTTGTGCCTTTGTACTCAGCTGTTCACTCCAAGTGGGTCGAACAGCAGCGCCCAGAATGGTAGTTTGTGCATTTATGGTTAATGTTTCCCCTGAGTATCCTGGAACTCGGGCAAGGGAAGAATCTGTGATGGTAGGCAGAGGCAGTTTGCGGACTGGTTCTTTCTGACTTTGGTCTAAATGCCTCAGGGGCTGACTGTGTGCCCCCCGCTGTCCAAGATGCCATTGTCTGCCTTGTGATCCGTAAAAATTCCAGCCACCTGGACAGCAAGGCCCTGCTTATATCCTGCCGAAGGGCTCTCCTGGGATAGGTGGCGTAGGTGGGGATGAAGTCGCCCCACATCTGTTAGAAAGCACAGAGAAGTGCCAGCAATCTGCCTTTTAAAGATTGCTGGTTTCCTCTTACACCCTTTATTTAACCCTATTGGTTTTTTAAAATAAGGTTAGTGTTAACAGCCATCCAATATTGCTTGTGAACATACCCTTTGAAGTCAACACCCATACCGTGCCCGGCAGTGTCAACATTCCCCCGTCCCCCATCATTTCTCAACAATTAGGACTAATTACCAACAGAGTCCTTTGCATATTTGTTTCAAAGGCTCCTCAGCCCGTAACTTTTTCATTTGCACGATGAAGGAACAAAACCACTTCATAAATCTCCCAAGAGTGTCATTGTGCGATTCTACACAAGCCTGCTTGGCGATAACCTCGTTTTGCTCAACGGGATTTGCTCTTCATCTTGGATGTCAGCCTCCGGAAGTGTGCTGAAGAACCGGCCATCTCCTATACTGTTAGGACGATTGTGAGCTTGCATTACATCCCTTTTGCAGTTGCGAAGCCCCATCTGGGTCTTCATGGGGTCTTAAAAATACACCCCTTAAATGATAAGGCAGCAGCTGCTCGTGTGAAGCTCCGTGTGTGCAGTGGAGCCTTTCCATGATCACCGGAGTGACCCTTGTAGAGGCTTCCGTGTGTCCCTAAATACGCTTAGTATCTGATTTAGGCTGGACTTACTATTATTTGGAGTTTTTGTATGCCGTCCCATTTGCATAAGCCTTGGGACGACTTCCATACAATAAACAAACATAAAAATAGAATACATAAAATCTAGATTCACCCTGGCTGTAGAATTAAAACCAATAAATAGTATTACGAGTTGTTAAAATATTGTTTAAATAAATGCAAATAGCATCCTTGGTTTGTATGGGAAAGCTTTCAAGACCTTGGTTTGTGCACCGGCTGCTGCTGCTGCTGCTGCTGCTGCTGCTGCTCTGCATGGCTGAATTACTTTTCCAGTTGTCCATGGGGAAGGCACTTTAAGACGGTGGTTGACTTGGGAAGGAAATCGGAGCAGGTCATCCCTTCTTCCCTCTTCCATTCCAACTGTGCAAAACAGCTGGGCGTGTGGGGGGGAAGGTGATGAGCTCTGACACAGCCCTCAAGTTGAAAAGGAAGTGCAATCGGTCACTGACCCCCACCTCACAGTGAATTTTAACCCCCTCTTTTTCTTGGACGGATGACCGTTGTTCCATAGCGTTCATCGGGTTTCATTGCCTTCACACTGCCCTGCATTTTGTCCTTGCTTTTGTGGAGGGCGCTGGGTAAACGTAGAGCAAACAGAATGAAAAGCGGATGGAGTCGTCACGCTGCCGTGGTGTGGATTTCCCTGCCGCTTCATTGGTAGCTACTGGCGTGTGTGGAGAAGCACCGAAAGCAGGGATGTCTCGCCTTATCAGTTAATGAACTGCTTCTCCAGAACTCACTTGCTTGAGACGGCACTGCAAGCTCGGAAGGCAATCCGTCTTGTGCGTCTTCCCGTCCTTTGCTCTGCTCTGGGTCTGCACACCGACTTCCCATCGATCGATCGGGGCTCTGCGCTCACACTCTCCCTTTTATCAGAGCACAGCAGCTTCTCTCTGAAATGCCTCCTTCTCTGCGGAGGTTCACAGTGTGAACAAGGACCGGCGACACAGCTCGGCACAGCACAAGAGGCAGCGCTGCAGCCGGGGAAACTCAGCGGATCAAAGCACGCTTTGCTTGAGCACAGGCGGCCTCCGAGGAGAGGGGCAGACGCCTCGGAGTGCTTTTTCCTTGCGGAAGAGCAGCTCTTGCTTTACGTAGTACATGTGCTTAAATATTGGGATATCAAAACACACACATATGAAATACCATTTAGTCTTTCAAGGGCAGCAGCTGTGAGACAGCTTACTGAGGGGCAAGGCAAAGAGATTCTATTAAGCTAATTAAAATGCTTCCATCCAGATTAATTAGACCAGCCATATCTAAAAGACATTTTGAATTCTCGGAAGGGTAGCTCTGTTAGTCTTTGACTACAAAAACAACGGCCTTGTGACAGTTGAAAGACTACAAGAATTCATAATGGTGTGAACTTTTCTGCTCTCTCAGGTGCGTGAAGTGTTACCTTGAGTGACGGGGGTTTACAGTTCCCCCAGAAGCACCTGTGTGCACATCTGTACCATTTTTGCATGTCCTTGGTGATACTGATAAACTGTTCAGAGGAGCTGATGCTATCATAAAGCTGTTGGCCTAATGGGCTGAAAGCACCTTTTAAAGGTGTGTTTTCCAACCAAGATGCTGTCCCAGAATTTAGTTTTTTGCTTTATTTTAATGTTGCACAGAGAAGAGCACATTCTATCGTTTGTCAGCAAAGCCACAGCTACAAAATAATAGCATTAGACCAGAAATAGGCCATTAAACATCCATGGACTGTGTCCGGGTAGCCCAAGCTTTTCCTTGCAACTCAGGTTGAGCAGTCCTCCATTCTGTTCCTTTATTGTTCTGTAGAAGTGCTCTGCTCCACGTTTTCTTTCTCTAAATTCTGGATTTCTGAACATTTGCTATGAAATTAGAGCGTGTGAATATTTAACTCCAGGCATCTGGTGCAAGGGATGCCCTGTGGACCTCCAGAATTGCCAGGTGGACAACAGATCAATTCTTCTTCCCAGGCTGAGAAAAAAAGATAAAACTTCTGGCCACGGATTTTATGAAGTTCCTCTCTCCCACTGTTGCAGAGAGGTTCTAAAACATACACACACCCTGCTTTTTTGGAAGACAGGGTGGGGGTGAAGAGGCTTCAGGCAGGCAGAAAGTTTGTTCTCATGGCAAAGGCAGGATGGATCTGTAGAATGACTGGGGAAGGCAGCGTTTAGGCTTTCAAACCAGCCGAGGGCCACAAAGCCACCAAGAAGCGCTCCTCACTTCGGACACTGGGATGTTCACAGTACTACCTGTTGAACCTTAATAACTTCCTCGCCATTCTACTGGTAGAACCCAGCCCTTCCTGCAACTTCAATTTTCTTTTGCTCAGGTGCCCTTCCCCCATTTCACATTTTCGGTGCACGCATACAGAAGTGCAGACAAGCAGTCGCTCATTGTATGAATAGCGATGTCAATATTGATTTTAAGCACATTATTAACATAGAGGGAATAAAAAGGCATGCAGAGAACTGAAAAACCTAAGAGCAGAGGCAAAATGAGACTGGACAGTGGGTGTTTTTGCTGCTTTTTAAAATCACAAAAGAAAAACCCAAAGATGCATTTATTTCAGTCTGCCTTTTGGTTGAATTGTATTGTATTTTTGAAAAAATCTTTAGCTGTTGATGGGTTTTTTAAATTGCATTTTCATGTGTTTGAGAGTCTTGTAAGCCTCCCTGGAGGACAGCATGCTCCTGAAAGGCAGGTTGAGAATACTTAAAATAAATAAATGCCCAGTGGTGTGTACAAAATTGGACAATAAATGGAAAAAATGGATCAATCCCACTTCAAAAGCAAGATGAGCTGATTCAGAATCTGAAATCCAGTAAGAACATGGATGAGGGGAATTCCGAGCCGATCCCACTTGCAGGCCCTGCTTCCTTGCAGAAAGCAAAAGACACCCGTCTTTCCCCATCTGTATATCCCGGCCAGCACGGCCCCTGGAAGTTTTCCATCCTTCCCCTTATTAAGGGACGCTGCTGCACCAGGGTATGTTCTAGGACAGTGATGGCAAACCTTCCAGAGTCCAAGTGCCCGAACTGCAACCCAAAACCCACTTATTTATCGCAAAGTGCCAACACTGCAAATAAACCTGAATACTGAGGTTTTCGTTTAGAAAAAAACAAATAAATATGATGCTGCAGATTGCCAGGGGGACAGCACAACATTAAAAAAATCTCAGTCTCTTAATTAGAACATCTTTTGCTAAATCTTAGATATTAAATTTCAATTTTTCATAAGAAAACTCAAAGCTAAAATCTTGTGTTAATAGAAACAAATGTATTAAAACGCACTTCCAGTCCAAGCAAATATATATATATATATATATATATATATGCTTGGCAGTGCACTGACCGGCCATGCGAAAGCTCGGACGAGTTGTGGCTAATGTGTCGCAGCTTGTGATGTCATCGCCTGGCGCCACTACTTTCCGAGCATGTGCATGGCCCCTATGTGCACTGTTATCCGATGCTCGGCTGCTGGGGCGATGCTGGGGTGACTTGGCTCGCGTGCCGACAGGGAGGGCTCTGTGTGCCGGCTGTGGCACGCGTGCCGGAGGTTCGCCACCACTGCTCTAGGCCTAAATGCACATGAAGACTGGCTTGATCTCATGAGGTGGGCGCTATTTCCACTGCACATTGTGAACTGAGAATATGCCCTCAGTCCTCGCAGCTGTGGTTTGCAAGGAAGATCTGCAGTGCCAGTCAAATGATCTTCTGTGGACACTTGTCCCTCACGGCTGACTGAAGAACCCCTGGGAAGCTTCTAAGGAGTCCCCAGGATTTCCTGGAACACAGTTTGAAAGTCATCGCTTTTACGCAGGCATTGCAAATTGGTGTTCATCCATCCAAGCATTGATCAGGGGCGTTTCCTCCTGAGCCAATTCTTTTGCTTCCATCCTTTGGGACATGGCTACAGAGCTGCTGATCTCGATTGTGTTGATGCTTCTGCTGGTGCTTGATCGTGTTTTGTGTTCCAAGCTCCATCAAAACTCTTCTCCCCCCACCCCCCGCCCCACCCCACCCCGCCATCAGCTTTGGAAGTTTTCATTTGGCGCCTGTGCAGTGGTCTTCTGCCGTTTGTGTGTGGGTTGATTTGATGTCCTTTTTTCATCGTGCTTGTCTCACTGTGCTCGGCGTCTGTTTGGTCTAATCTTCTCGATTTACCTGTTTGGTCTCCATAGCAGATGTTGTTCAGTCTCATGGTGGCGTCTTCGTGGAAAGCGTGTCTCCTTCTGCTCCCATTTCAGCCCCCCAGTTCAGGGGCTTCCGGCGGGCCAGTGAAGTCAGCATTGCTAGCCAGGTCTCAGGAATGGCAGACAGTTACACAGCTTCCAACATAGCCAACAGTAAGTGTTCCTCCTCACGCACACCTCACATGTGTGAGTTCCTTCTCCAAGGCTCTGAACAGCTGTCAAGGATGGATTGATGTATGGTCCCAGAGGATCAAATAAAATTGTGATCTGTATGACTCTACACCGTCACTTATTCCCAGCCTTAGAAGTGCTTTAAATAAACTTTGCTGATTGTACGTAGCCAAATCATGGGTGGATAATTCCTGAAGCAGATTTACATCGATATAGGAACAGTTGTAATGGTGCCCCCAGACTTCAGGCTGACTCAAAAATTAAAATCAAACTGCCAGCGAAAAATCCCAGCAGCTAATGTAAGATTTTATAATCTATATCTGGTTGCTTCATTACTCTTAACTGGGAGATAAGATTCTTAACCTCAGTTTCTGAAACTGGCAGCCTTCCGGGTAAATTTTCTGGAGTAGCTAATGGTTGAGTAACCTCAGTTTTGAGGTCAAAAAAAGAGTGATCGAGACCTGGATGAACGCAAACATGCTGTTTTGTGGTCCTGTGTGGTCAGGTACTTTGTTGAAATTCTGGGGTTATTATTCCTAGGTTGTTAACCTAATGGACAAGCGTTCTCGTTGGGCTAGCAGAAGTGGAGAGGCTGGTGGGGGTGGGGGCCCTTCTGGGAGGTCACAGCCTTTAAAAGCTGGTCCCACTTCAGTCCTTGGCATTTTTGGGTGCTTCCAAGCATTCTGAGCTTCTCATGCACTCGCTAGTTGTCGTTCTAGTCTGTAGCAATCTTGGTAGGTAGGTAGGTATGTGCCCTGTGTGTGTGTGTGTGTGTGTGTGTGTGTGTGTGTGTGTGTGTGAAGAGCAAGTCTTTTGCTTCCATTTACCACCATTAAAATATACTGGGCTGAATCCAGCTTCCCCACCTGCATCTCCGTTATGATGTATTACCTTATAATTTTGCCAGGAGTAATATAAGCTGCAGGGGAGTTTCTCTTTGCTCGATGGTAACTTTCCTTCCTGTCTAGGAAGGAAGCTGCGTGCAGAGTTTGTCGTGCTAGATTCATCCTTGAGCAGGAATGGTGAAATCCCGGGTGCCTAGAAAGATCTGATAGTGGTGGCTAAGAAGGTTTACAATGATCCACCCTTGCCTTTAACTTTGAAAACGGCTCTTAGAAAGTCGACTCTGGACCATATCAGGGACTGGCTAGGGAAGAATGGATTTTATTTTTCAGTTTCTCATTTTTCCAGTCTTAGGTCTGTATTGTCCTGTTTGTTCCTCAGTTTGCACATTTGTAAAAGTGTGTAAGACGTACACAATCATGTTTGTGTGCTTCTAACAGATTTGAATGTAATTTTGCCCAATATATGCGATTTCTCCAATATACTGCTTTTTTGTGTGTCACTTTCACTTAATGTATGGGTTTTGGTGCACCATTTTCCTAATGTAGATATTAGGAAAACTTCATTTTAAAATTGAGAAAAACAAGACTACTAAAGGATATCCGAGTTCCGCTTCACGTCGCTGCCCCTTCCTTAACATGGCTACTAGCCTGCTTCCTAGCCTCTCCCGTTCTTGAGCTCAGAGGTAGGAAGAAGCTGGGAAGGACCACAGCCTGAGCTACCACCAGCAGGAATAAGCCATCCCGGACTAAGCGAACCAATGGCTGCCCTCCAAGTATTTGGGACTTCAGTGGCCATCAGTCCCAGACAGCATGCTCAGTGGCCAGCAGGGCTGGGAGTCGAAGTCGAAAATATCCGGAGGGTACCTGGTTGTGTACTTTGCAGGCTGTTGTAGGCTTCGGATTTGAAGAACATTTTCTGCTCCTCTCTCCAAGTGTGATTCACAGCCGGGGCAGAACAGGTGCTCCAGCGCACCTGTTCGAGTAGGTATGAGCTGACCGGCGTCCTCTGGGAAATGACACTCTCCAGATGTTTGATTTTATCCCTTGTGTCATGTCTGCCCCTGAGCTTGGTGACTTGGAAACCACCCGCTCCCCACAGCTCTGCCCCATGATTTTGACCCTCCCACTCCTGGGCAGAAGCAGCCCCCGGGCCTTTCCCGCTCATTTCAGCTCGGCTGATGCGATTATCGATTATCGCTGCCCCAAGCATGTTGCTGAGGGTTCATCCTGTTGCAGAGCAGCTCTGTGCTCTCCCCATAGAAAGATGTTCTTGTGCACTCAGATGGGAAAATACCTGCTACTGTAGCAATCCATCAGTCATCTGTCTTCAGCACATGCCTTCCCCAGCCATAAGGACTAGAAACTTGTCCTCCAGGCTCTAAAAAGCAGGTGTGTTGGGTATGGCAGTCTGGAGTAACCCGGCAAGGAAGTGGAGATGGGTAGTCTCCATCCGCTTCTGCTTGAAGTCTTGCTCATATTGAAGCTGTATAGGTGGAGGTGGCAGGCAACCTGTTGGCCCTCTGAGTCAGCTGCTCTCTTCCGAGCTGGAAACTGCAGTAGCGCTCTTTGGACGTGAACAACAGAGAGCAGGCCATTAGCTCCCTCTTCTGTAAGCTGCCATAATGGAGCAGCAAATACCTCCCCTGCTTCGCACTGAAATAGTCACTGGCTGAAGTCCCTCTTGGCAGCATATGGAGAGGGCCTGTTTCCCCCTCGCTTGCCTGACTTGGTTCATTTGATGTTACTTGCAAAAAATAACAGATATTCTCAGCCCTAAGAGAACAGACCGTATGCAAAAGATATTTGTAATTCTTAAACATCTAAATGATTTTGTTCTTAACCCCAGTCCATAGCCCTAATGCATTAAATGTTGTGTATGCATGACTGTGTTTGTTTTAACAAGGATGTATTTTGTTTTTGTTTTCTTTTTTAAACTGTGTTCCTTTTAGAAAACAAAAACCATCTCTGCCAGTCCAGGGGGTTTAGCCTGCTAGCTCTGCTTGCCCTCCCGCACAAGTCCCCCACCCAACCCTCGCCCAAAAGGCATAGGGCATCCAAACCCGAAAAGTCCCAGAAACCTTTAGGAAGAAGGCTTGGGAGATCCTCCCTTTGGGAAGTGGATTCCATTCTACAGATTCCAGACCTCGACATCACTAAAGGTATTCTGGAGAGAGACAAGGGGAAGAAGAAGTACCAATTCCTCACTAACCGGCTCTGCCACCATCTCCAGAATCAATCCACCTGCTTTCGATGACGGCACTTCTCAATCTTTGAGCACAACTGCAAAATAATAATAAAATTTAAAAACGCTGCTACGTATTTCTCAGTCTTGGGTGTCTGGTTTAACAAACACTTTTCTCTTTGCTTTGAAGATTAACCTTCACACCACTAATAGCCAGCTGCAAGTGTTAAATACACCCTGATTCATTTTAACCTTTTGCATGTTGCTACGATTTCTTTGAGGTATGGGATTATTCGTGATTGTCCTATTCGGAGAATCCCAGCGTTGGAAATTTGATTTGACAGGAAAGAAAAGGTCGGAGTACCTGCATGTAGGAAATGATCTTTGTCTAACTGAAATAGTCGCCGTGTATCTTGTGAAAGTACAGCTAACGTCAATGTGTTCTGAAAAATATAGCAGAAGTCAATATATTCAAAAAGTACAGCTAGCTGTCTGTGTACATCAGATTTCTGGAAACAAGCGCTTTGATTTTCATGCCAACCCAGTCCGGGCGTCAGTTTGAACCGTAAGAACCCAGCAAAATGTGGCCTTGTTGGGTATTTTAATCAGTTTTGTTTATGATACTATTCTCTGAGGTGGACCTAAGCTGTTTTTAAGCATTGGCATGACCACGCAGAGAAAGTCTGATACATTCATTGGAAAAGCCACAGACTGGAAACAAGGGTGTTTTGTTTTAATGCTTGGTACTCTTATTTCTCCTAAAAAGAAGCCAACGATTTGGGGTTTGCCTTCTTCTGTCTCGTTCTCAGTTGCTTCCAAATGGTGGGGAACCAAAAGGATAGACTACGCACTCTACTGCCCAGACGCCCTGACTGCCTTCCCCACAGTAGCTCTGCCTCATCTCTTCCACGCAAGCTATTGGGAATCGACAGACGTGGTTTCTCTCTTGCTCAGACAGGTCAGTCCGGCGCAACTTGGAACAAGCAGAGTCCTGTGGTGGTTATTCTATGAGACGGGGGCGATGGCATTTCTGTGCCACGAGCTTAGCTTTTCCTCTGTATACACTGAGAAGATACTTAGGTCTCATGACCTGGCTCCTGACTCTTCCACTCCCTTCAGTCCAGTCTCTTGCTCGAAGGATCCTGGCAACCTGCACTCGGGAATCTTTTCAGAAAATAAGAGGAAAAGGGGGAAATGCTCTAGGAGCAGGCTGCTCGGTCCGTGATGTCGAAGCTGGAGCATGCTTTGAAGCAGGCAGGAGACTGCAAGCACCCTTCCCTAAGACACTGGAGGGACTGCAGAATTCAGCTTGTAGGGTATGCGCAATAGAGACCTTGCCTAGAACATTTTTCATTTTTATAGGGAAGTGCTGGACAAGGTTTGTAGATATGGGGGCTGCACTTTTTGCAACCTCCTTATTAAAAATATAAATTGCATATGCTTCAAAAATCGTTTTAAGGTGAATACCCGTTAAGATGGAGGAAGCTGACAGCGGCATTCCATTTTGCAGAAGCCTCACAGGTACCTGGCTCTTTCGGGAGCTGGGCCCACAGTCAGGGAGAAGAACTGTGGTGACTGCAATTGATGATGTTTTATGTTATTTATTTAAAATATTTCTTGGCCTCCTATCCAGGCAGAAGCCATGCTTCAGCTGAAGTTCCTATCTTGCACTTTCTATAGAAATCACTGGCCATGTTGTTTCTCCACAGGTGATGAGACATGAGAATTCCAGTATTCTAGAGCTGGATGGGAAAGAGGTCTCGGTCTTCACACCTTCCAAGCCGAGGGAGAAGTGGCTTCGCAAGAGGACCCATGTTAAGCTAAGGGTGAGCACAGAGCTTCCTTTTTTGTTTTTAAGTTCTTCAAATACCACAAAAGCATTATAAAAATCAGCATTGTACATCCAACAAGGAAAAATGGTGGTCTGTGATGCCTTTTCTTTTAATTGCATTTCTTCATTTTGCAGCAACACAAAGACATGGCAAGCGTCAGCATTATAAACCAACACATGAAAAGTGGCCTTTGTTTTAAATGGTTCAATTTTTCATCATCGGACAAAACAAAGGGATCATAAAACAACACTAGACAGTGTATTTGAAGGCTAAACATAATGGCTTTCACTTTCTGAAGGAGTTGTCTTAATGTAACACCAACAAAAGTATGACAAAACCGAAAGGAGAGTGGGAGAGTTCCAGGTCATAAATGGATGTTGAGAGCTAAACGTGGGCTCTTGTGACATCCTGGCATCTGGTATCATACAGATGTGTTTGTATGCAGCTCCCACGGTCCCTGGTCATTGGCCTTGCTGGAGAACACCAGGTTCCAAGCTCTTCCAAGTTCTCGATTTCTACCAGACCTAAAATCCTAAGGATTTCAGCCTGTGTGGGAAAGGAAGGGCATGTTCAGGAGCAAAAGGCTCTGCCCTTAAAGACAGCCCAGAAATGCTTTTAGATGGACAGACAAAATAATAACACCACGCAACAATGCAGCTATTGTTTCTTTTAGGTTGGTAAATGGCCGTCTGACTTGCAGAAATGTCAAAGCTGTTTTCCTTTCTTTGGCAGAATGTCACAGCCAATCACCGAGTAAATGATGCCATTGCCAATGAAGATGGTCCACAGGTGTTAACGGGGAGGTTTATGTACGGCCCACTAGACATGGTCACACTCACAGGGGAAAAGGTATGATTTGGTCCAGGTCTAATCTGAATGCTTTTAGATGGACAGACAAAATAATAACACCACGCAACAATGCAGCTATTGTTTCTTTTAGGTTGGTAAATGGCCGTCTGACTTGCAGAAATGTCAAAGCTGTTTTCCTTTCTTTGGCAGAATGTCACAGCCAATCACCGAGTAAATGATGCCATTGCCAATGAAGATGGTCCACAGGTGTTAACGGGGAGGTTTATGTACGGCCCACTAGACATGGTCACACTCACAGGGGAAAAGGTATGATTTGGTCCAGGTCTAATCTGATACTCTTAAACGGGGGGGGGGGGGGGATAAACATTTCACTGTATATTTCTACAGTATTTTCCATGTTGTAGAAGAAACTTGTGTTATAGTTGCAGCTAATGCCTAGGTCAACTGAGATTCAAATGTGCTAAATGTTTGTTTGAAACTAATTAGCTGGTCAACATTACGGAGTTAATCAGTGGACTGAAACCAGGTGTAACTCAGGCAACACCCATTTTTCATACAAACATCGTTCCTAGAAATGGAGCTGTTCAGTCCATAGGAACCAATGAACATTATGAATAGCATCTTAAAAAACACAAGAACATTTTGCCATAGAGAAACTTAATATGTAAGCCTGGCTCTTAAAGTTGTGTTCTCTCTCGTTCACTAGGCAACAGCACTTGTGGTATTTCTGAGAACAAGCTAATAATTATTATTACAAGGCTTGTCGCTTATTCCCTTTTCTTCCCTTTTATTTCCTATGCTCGGGCCAGAATCAAATATCCTAATCCTCTTTCTTTTAGGAATGTGAGACATTGATTAGGAATGTCCTTATTATATGGCCACATTATCACCTTTCTACAGTACGTTTCACAGGAATGATAGCATCTATATTTTTCTTGATCTGCTTTATTTAAATCCTGCTTTTTGGGTAGCGTAGTGGGAGAGTGTTTAGAGAAAGAGGAGATCACAGTATGTACCACTGTCAGTGTAATCTCCAGAATATCCTTAGCGAAAGGTACTTCTCCTTGCCACAGTCTAAACATCAAAAGTAGGGGAGCAATGAGAAAATGGCTTCCGCCACATCAGGCAATTATGACTGACTTTCAGAGACGGCCTTCCCTACCTAGAGCTTTCCAGATGTGCTCCCATCATCCCCAGCCAGCACAGCTAGTTGTGAGCAGGTGACGATGGAATTTATAACCCTGCATATCTGGAGGACATTAAGTTGGGGAAGGCTATTCCGATATCTCAGGTATCGAAAGCCTTTTCCAGTCGTAAGCCTGAGGTCCTTTGAAATGAAGGGTCCAGGGTGGAACCTGGGGATTTCTGTGTCGAAGGGATGCGCTCTCAGCCGAACTATGGGATCTTCTGTGGGAGCAGAGCAGACGATCCACTGTGGAATCCCTTAAAGCCTTGCAATCGGAAAGGGCGTGCGTGGCTAGGCCGGTGATGCCCTTCTGTCCTGACTTCTTCCCACATACCTGCCTTGTCCAACAGGTGGACATTCACATAATGACGCAGCCCCCATCAGGAGAATGGGTTTACTTCGACACGGAGGTCACCAACAGCAGCGGCAGGATTTCCTATGCGGTCCCTGAGAACAGGAGGCTGGGGATTGGAGTGTATCCTGTGAAGATGGTGGTCAGGTGAGCTGCTGCGGAAGGCCTCCTGCTGTGCACGGCGCTTGGGCACAGCTCCAGCCAGAGTGGTCGAGGGCAAGAGCAGTGGCCAGTCAGAGCCACAAAATGTGGACGTGGCCTGGCCGGCGAGAGCAAGGCCGGGTTCAAGAGAGCCAGCACCTCTGCTAACGCACGACTGAACACGAGAAAGCCCCTCGAGGAGGCTCTGCCCCGGGATGGAGCAACCGCTCTGAGGGAAAGGTGGCTGACGCTTCTCTCGTTCCCCCGTTCCGTTTCCTTCCTCGCCTGCCGCCGTTCGCCTCCTTAGGGTAAACATATGGGTACATTAAAGAAACGAACCATTATCCTGAATATAAATTGCAGCTGCAGAAGACCGCAGTGGGTCAAAGCCCCCCTCCCAGCCCCTGTGCTGAGGTCCCGGCTGGAGGTCCTGTGCTTGCTCCAGATTGAAAGGGGGAAGCTGTCAAGAGCAGCGAGTGGTGGGTGGTCACAGACGGGAATCCGCAGGGAGCAAAGTTGACCTGCAGGCGTGAGGTACAGCGTTTACCTCCGTTTGTGGCTCCCAGAAGTTTACTAAGAGCAACATCAAAAGCTTTTGCCCCCAGAAACAGCCTGCTGATGAGAAGAAAGCAGGGTGGGGAAACCAGGAATGGTTTTGTGAGTGGAAACGGTCTGTGCACTGTTTTGACCCTGTATGAAAATTTTGGTCTGAGCCACGGCCTTCGTTCTCCTGTGTGCTTGTCTACACTTAGCCATGATTTTGTGCTTGATTCCAGTCCCTGAACTTCTAAATAAAAGCCAGGTAGATCCCAGACGCCTGTGGCCTGCTCGCCCTGGCTGGATGGAACACTTGGACCGATTTGGCAGTATTCTTCTTGTGTTCTGTTAGCAAAAATAGAACCGCCCTTTTTGTTTTGCGAGGCAAAAGAAATTCTGTCAGCAACATCTTGCTGCACACATTTTGTTATCCAAGGAATTTACATCCAGTCTTTCTCCTTTGAAACAGGTGCCAAAATTGCTAACAAAACCAGGTTTTCTCTCTTACTAGGCTCCAACAAGCCCAGTATTTTGTTCTCGCCTTTCTTTTAGGGGTGACCATACATACGCTGACAGCTACATCACGGTTCTGCCCAGAGGGACGGAATTTGTGGTGTTCAGCATCGACGGCTCCTTCGCGGCCAGCGTGTCGATCATGGGCAGCGACCCCAAAGTTAGAGCTGGAGCGGTCGACGTAGTACGGTACGAGCGCTGCGGAAATGTTTTGTGCTGGAGAGTGCAGGGTCCCACAGTTTAGATGGGGGGGCCCTTTCTCTCTGCCGCTTCCACCGTCGTTGGGATTTCAGTTGATTGACTCTAGTCTCCTGACATGGAGTTTTAGAAACATAGAAACAGAGTAGGTTTCTTAAAACCTTGAGTGAGTGAGTGAGTGAGTGAGTGAGAAGGGACCTCCTGAGGCATCTAGTCTGACCCCTGGTTCCAGCCAGCTCTGCTCATGACATGCCTATCATGTGCATATCCAGCCTATCCTTGAACACCCTCCCCAGTGGGGCTTCAGCCCCCTCCCGTGGCAGCCCATTTCATGCCCCTGGGGTCCTAACCATCAGGAAGAACTTCCTGGCATCCACCCTAAATCTTGGTGCCCTGAGCTCTGTTGCAATGGAGCGCACCTTGCCCTCCACTGCAGGGGAAAAAGAGTCATGAGCCACCTCTGCGTGGCATCCCCTCACATACCTGTATGTTGCTAACAGGTCCCCTCTGAGACTCCTCCTCTGGAAAGTGGATCTCTCGAGTCCTAGTCCAACAGTTGCCCCAATCCATCCCACCAGCGCTCATACCTTCTTCTTCCTGTTCCTCCCCCGCTTTTTTTGTCCGTCTCTCCCGCTTCCCAGGCACTGGCAAGACCTTGGCTACCTCATTATCTATGTCACAGGCCGCCCCGATATGCAGAAGCAGCGGGTGGTGGCGTGGCTGGCACAGCACAACTTCCCCCACGGGATTGTCTCTTTCTGCGACGGGCTGGTTCATGACCCGCTGCGGCACAAGGCCAACTTCCTGAAGTCCCTCATCACGGACGTAAGTGGGGGGCGGGGGGGCGGGGGAATGCGCAGTGCCCGATTGCAGCCAGAGAGCTGGGGGACTCTCGGCAGGAGCAGGTAGAACTGCCCAAAGGCACAGGGTCCTGTGCATCCGGCTCGGGTCGCAATGCCAAGGGGAAGCATCTCTGAGTAGCTGCTTGATGTGAATGTGCAGCTGGCCCATCTCCAGGCTGAAGGCCTGTGTTTGTGGGGAGAGAAAAGCAGGATTCTGCAGCACGGACATCAAAATTATAAGACCGAGCACATTTCGCTCTCTTGCTCCAGAAGCGTTATTGATATCACGAGAAATCAACAGGCAGAAACCCACGTGCCCTGCTAAAGCCACCTGGAATGAAAGGCTTGAGCGGCTGGCTCCTGATTGTGAAGAATTATGTCCCTCATAAAAACTGGCCACAAATGCTTCTTTTTTCCTTGCTTTCCTGCTTTTCTAATAAAGGTGTTGCAACACCGCAAGGCTCCCTGCGACACTAGAGCGCTTGTGCCTTTCATCACCTTGACAGTTACAGGCAAGCCCGGTGAGGAGGCCAAAGGTCCAGACAGAGAATCAAAGGGAAAGCAGCTGACACATTTCAGCTTGGCAGAGGCTGACGCTAAGTGGGGAGTGGTACTTCTGTATTCTCCGAGGGGGCTGTAAGCTCCGGAGAGCGCAAAGAAGGCGCCAGAAGCTGCAAAACCACATGCCTCTGACTCCATTCCTGGAACCTTCTTCCGAAAAGGCTTTCCGGTTTCATTTCAGAGGCTTTTCAGTCGGGCAGTCATGTCCCGCTCTGCAAGAGAAACTTGATTTAGCTCTTGCAATTCGGTTCTTCATAGTATGTGCTTCAGAAGAATGGACGTCTCAGGGTTATGATGGGCTTGCATTTAACCGGTGATCACTTTGTGAGGTTTATCCATGGGGCACTCACAACTTTACAACTTGCCCGACAGGCCAAATGATTGACTCCACTGTTGGATCCTTCCTCACACTTCAAAACAGCTGCTCTGATCTGATTTTAATGGAGAAATGCTTTCAGGTCAAGGGGGGGCGGGTAGCTTCAGAAGAGGTCTCGTCTCCACCTCTTTCAGGAGGCATGGACCACCCCGTCTCCTAAGGAAGAATTTATCACCTCCCTGGGCCAGTCCGTTGTTCCTTCCTTGCTGACTTCTATAAACCAAGAGGAGCAAGGTGCAGGGCCCAAATGATCGCACAAACTTGGTCAAACACGTCGTCAGCATCCTTGAGCTGTACCAACTGAAACTCATACAATAGAACTGGACCGGGCCATACTCTGCGTCTCTCAACAGATTCAACAATTTTAACTCTGGAGCCTTAAGTCCCAGCAGATACAAGGGATGTTTTTTTTCCTGTAGTCCTGTAGGAAATAATTTACATCAGGCCTAAGAGGTTCTTAGGACCAGCACACAGTATGCCCCAGATTAGCTAGGTTGCTAGTTGCAACACGCAGGGGTGATATGATTCCATATGATCCTGTTTTATGCCTCCAAAACCAATTTGTGTCATAGCTGGGCATTCATGCGATGATGCTTCCATCAAGAAAATGGGTTTACTTTGACTTGACGGTCAGCAACAGCAGTGGCAGGATTTCTTAAGTGATTCCCAAGATCTCAGCCAAGATAGATAAATAGATAAATTGATATTTCAGTTTGTATGTCTCCACAGTAGCCTATCTCTGGGTTCTCTTGCTTCGCTTTCTTTCGCTTCGGCTGTGGGAAGAGGGTGGCATCCACAGCGATGACCCCAAGCATATGGACTTCCCTTGAAGGATTTGAGGGAATTAGCGCGTCACAACCAAGTCCTATCGGAAGTAACAGGACTTTAGTGCCACTAATATTTGACTGTGCTGCGCCCATAGCTTAGCATGGCTTAGTCAGGAAAACAAAGAGGTTTGTGATGCTTTTTGCACATCTAATGATGTATTAGTTCCCCAAGCTATTCCTGTTAATTGGTTGCCTGTGACATTTTGAGGAGGGGTGCCTGAGCATCCCCCGGCTCACCTGCAAAGGGCCTGTGGTCCGAGCATGCTCCAAGCGGACGCCTGCACATTCGCCAGGCGTCTGCAGTGACCGCTGGCGTGGCCCCCCTCCTGTGCCCAAAGACAACGCAAACCCAGCTTGGCATGACTACCTTGCCTTCCTCCTCCTCCAAAGCAGTTGCTGGGCAGCCTTGGAGCGGCAGGCTGAAGGCCGACCCTGCTTGTGGGCATTCAGGAAGGGTTCTCCTCTCTACCGGCAGCAAGTGCCGCCAACACCCCCCATGTGAACGTTCCAGCTTCGGCACAACGTCCCCAGGTGTCATATGGGGCACCGCCCTTGTTCCAAAACTGAGGCGGCAGCGCAGTGTCCTTTTTGTTCTGGCTGACGGGATTGCTTCTCTTCCCCGCCTCCTCTGCAGCTCGACATGAGGATCCACGCAGCCTACGGATCGACTAAGGATATCTCAGTGTACACCTCCATCAGCTTGCCCCCCGCACAGATCTACATCGTCGGGAGGCCAACCAAGAAGTTACAGAATCATTGCCAGGTAACAGTGCCAGCAGATTTTGGGGTGCAGAGTCCTTTGCCGGGTGCGAGAGGGATCCCTGATGGAGCTTGTCACTGCAGGCATTGTGTGTCCCAGCCCTGCTGCTGTGTAGCGTCTCTTCCAGCGACTCGGAGGAGGGGTAACGTTTTGTAGCCCCCACCACCTGGGACTTGTTTTAACTTTCAAGCGCCAGTTTCTCAGCATGGGGAGCAGGGGTCAAATACTAGCAGGAAGTGAAGCCAGGAAAGAGTTTCTGACCCAGGCAGGGGTGGATCTCTAGAAAGGCCAGGCCAGCAGCCCGGCCGTCTTGGGACAAGAGGCGCAAGAACCGCAAGGTTCATGAGAAGCAGCAGCCTTACCTAGGCCTTACCTGGCTTTCAAAACCTGAACAAGACGTCTGGGCAAGTCGATGTAAGTTTTTGCTATGTTTTGCAATATGCTTTGAGCACCTTGTATTTTGGTAATGCGTCTTTTGATTTGCTAACCCAAGTTAGAATGATGGGGCCACTGGGCTCCGGATACGTATATTTTGCGAACTGTGTCAACCGATGTGGAAGGGCCGTTTAGTGAATAGCATCATTATGGTTAGGGAAGACAGCTGTTCATGCAGGTCAATTTTGGGGGGACGCAGATGGCTGTCTCCCAGGTGTCTCTGCCAAGAAGCCAGCTGTTTGTGTTGCTCTGTTGAGTGCTGAGAAGGATTTGGACGCTGCCCTGTTACTTCTCCCCGTTTCTGAACAGGTGTGGGGTTGGAGTGAAATTCCCTTGATGCTTGGCAGAGAAATACAGATGACCGGTTTACCAATAGGTTATGTCAGGGCCAGACCTTCCCTGCTCTCTCAGGCAGAACTGTGCTGTGTGCTGCCAGTTCACTCTTCAGCCCTGGAATTCTGTGATAGAGGATCACGGTATAATCTGGAGTCTCCACTGTGGTGCCTGTGGGAACCGCTCTGCTCCAGGACTCCTCCCTTGGTGCTCAGTAATGTTTGTTTCTTATTCAAGCTTTTTAAAATCATTTGTTTACCTGGGTTGCCTGGCGTACCTTGGCATCCTTGATTTGGGCTCAAGAGTTTGTTTAGAATCCACCTCTGCCTTGTACTTAAGTTCCTGGATAAGCTGCTTTTCTTGCAGCCTCACTAACTATTCTTCCAGGGAAATGAGTGTCTTGTCACCAGCCACGCCTAACAGGTCTTCCGAAAAGGCAAGCCTCCCCCGCTGCAGCCTGAGACGCCCCCAGACAGCTTGGAGACCCCTGAATAGCCAGCCATCTGCATCCGCCCTCCCTCACACCAGAAACGGCACCTGTGAAATCAGCATGGGAGCGAAGCGCAGTTTTAAACCGTGAATGCTTTTCAGAATAAGCGTTCTGACTTTTCTTTTTGATTTGCAGTTCATCACAGAGGGGTATGCAGCCCACCTTGCCCAGCTGGAATACGCTCACCGCTCCCGGCCGGCCAAGAACACCACCCGGATGGCCCTTCGGAAGGGCAGCTTTGGGCTCCCGGGCCAGGCGGAATTCCTGCGCAAGAGGAACCACCTGCTGCGCACCATCTCGTCCCAGCCCGCGGGAGCCGGCGGGAGCACCAGCCACAGGCCGGAGCGAACGCAGAGCCAGTCGGAGAGCGACCGGGAGAGGGACAGGGAGCGCAGCGAGCGCAGCATGAGCCTCGCCACGGGGTGCTGGGGGCGCAGCGCGGCCTCCAGACTCGAACCGGGGGCCCTGGGGCAGAAGTAGAGCCGGCCAGGTTGCTACGGCAGGCAGCTGCAGATGCCAGTGGCGGAAGCAGGAGGAGGGAGGCACCAAGGAGGCCTGCTGCGTGGGACGAGGGGCAAACATGGTGCTACTCATTGCCAGCGACGCGGCAGTCTTTTTGCCGGGGGCAACTGAGGGATTCTCTTTCCACACGAGTCACGCAGGCCTCGAGAACAAGGGTGCTAGGTTTGCGGAGCACTACCGGACGGGAAGAACAAAGGGGCGCCGGAGAGGCGAGGGAGAGGATCAACGGCCTCCGGGTGCAGCTCCTTCCTGCCCACCCCCTTTTCTTATCCAGGTCTAGCGATTGTACATATGTGCCTCCTCAGCTTCTTAGCCATCAGTCAGAGATGCAACTGGGGGGTGGCGTGGGGGGAGGCCCAGGTGCCCGTGGGGGCAGAATCGGTTGAGTTCGAGGGGTGTTCGCTCGGGTCTGTTCCGTTACCTGGATGGACAGAAGCTGCCGCATGTCGCCACTTTATAGGAAAATTAATTGCTCTGTTTGTGGAGTCTGGAAACTATGGGAGGAAGTGGGACAGGCCCAGGGAGCTGGGAACGGATCTGCATTTGGGTACAGAGCAGCTGTGTCCACGGATTCTTTGTGATGGCCATTCAAAGCCATTGGTAATATAGGCATGGAATTAGTTGAGCAATTCATTTGGACTAGTTACCATTTTCTTTTTTAAAACAAATCAAAGCCGATTTTTTATGCAGGCTTTTGGAAGTGCGGGGGGGGGGGGTTGTATTAACTCAAAAAGGGCGTGAGTGATGTGGAAGTCTGCCCCCGGCGGATGAGCTGGTGGGGTGCGGAGGGAATTTCAGCCGTTTTCCAGATATTACAATATAGTCCGAAGCACCTGGGACACATAAGGTGCTATATTTGCCCAGCCTAAAAAAAGCGAAGTCCAAATTCTTTCCTCCCTCCTCCTCTCCGAACATTTTGTTTCTGCCTATTATCCCTTAGAAAAGATTCATTCCTTCTTCCCAACTTTGATAACAGCTTTTGACAGAGGTTGTAAACTTGCTTTCTTTTTAACTGTAGTGATGCAACTGTAAAACCTCATTGTTTTAATTTGTTTTGCACTGATAACTTTTAGAAAGGAGGCCTATTACTATTTTATAACGCTACACCTTCTCAGTTTAGAGAGCACGACAGTTAAGTGTTGCTGAGCCAGAGTATATCTACCCAAACACACACACAACACACACACATGAACTGTCTTTTCCATTAGCAGTTCCAGGAGATAAAAGAAACAAGTATATTAGCTGATGGACCCAAACTGTTCAGATTTACTGGGGAATGCGTTTGTTGTTGTTCTTGTTTTAAGAGTAACGGTATATCTGTAGCTTCTCTTTGTACAGGTTTGGTGGATTTGATGCAAATAAGAAAGGGTCTCTGAGGAGCGGAGGATCTGAGGGATCTGCTCTTTTAAAGGACACTTGCGTTATAGCGTTCTCCGTTAGCCATTTTGGAATAGGAGTGGCAGCACAATGGAAGCGGTTAGGGTGCCCACAGGAAAGGGACTGCACCTTCTCCCCAGCCGTCACCACACCCCACTGTCCACCTCGCGCTGTCGCCAAAGGCCGTTCCTGCCAGAGCTAGGTTAGCCCAAGATAAAGCGACAGCCATTCTCCAAATGTTACAGTTGCCCTTTCCTGACTAGAGCTTCTGACACCTTGATATTTGCACAGGTATCTTCCTGGCTGTAGTGTGTCCGTCCGTCCTCCCCTCTCTGACCATTTGTACCACTTTCTACTTTACGAGCTACCTGTAAAGTGATTTCTTTTCTAGATTTGACTGCTTTGTTTCCTTCTTCTCTTTTTCGATACCAAGACTCGCAGCACTGTGAATGCAGCCTGTTTCAAGCCAGAGTGAGACTTTGTCGGCTCATCCAGATGTTTTTTTTTTTTAAAGCGAACACTCGGTCACTGGTTGGGTTTGGACACAGAATTTAAAATGGTGTGCTTTTAATGATGAGATGCTCTTAAAGGGGTTAATTTATTCATCCTTGAAAACTGATACTCTTCTGAAATGAAGCTTGTGACATCCGGCAGAACTCAACGGTTTAGTTAGCCATACTGCACGACTCTAAGCCACTTGTCTCGAGCAAAGTCAACAAGAAGACCCCAGCAGGTTTTTACTACTTAAAAGAAAAAAAAAACTTGGCTTCCCTTTCTGTGCATTCAGCCTAGTTCTTTGAGGAAAATATACATTGCAAATTCAGAGAGGGTGGGGTTGTCCACATGGATTGCTCGATATAATAGTTCACGTGACCATGCAAGAGTCGTTCCGCTCTGCAAAAGTTACCCTTTGTGGCAAAAGAGGCCAAACAGCCACAGTCTGTCTTTGGCCTTGAAAACAACCACTAATTCAACTTTACTTTCCATTAGAGACCACGAACCAAGGTGTGGCATGTATATTTTCCAAGCATCACATGACAGATTTGGTGTTTCCTTTTCTATTATGTATGTGTGTGTACACAGTGTAAAGCAACAGACGATGTAAATCCAGGGGAGGCAATGGATATATATGCAGTGAAAGTAATTTATGTAACAGAAGTACGTGTGGAGGGGAAGAACCCTTCCATGCTGATTCGTATTTCAAAGTCTACCTTTCCCCCCTCACCCCTTTGAGGCATTACGGACCAAGTCTAAAGTAATTGTCAGAAGATGCGTTATCTAAAGAGGGAAGCAGCAGTGGAACATTCCATGAATGAGGCAAGTTGATGGCACAGCGAAAGCCTCGTCAGGAAGCACTTGGGTTTAGTACCTTCCTGTGCCATTGCAATAATACTGGGCGATGTGAGCGCACAGTGATAGAAAAGACGAAGGTAGGTTTGGTTTTGTGCGTTTGAAACACCCCTCTAGCGGGCCATCCTTCTGCTCGGTGACTTGTACATATGTATCCCTTTGCTGTGTTGTCCTTGATTTTGAAACCTGAATTTACTGCTTTCTAACATTCAACAATAGCAATAGATAATTTGGAAGTAGGATGGCTTTTTTCTGGAATGAGTGTGTTGAGCGGCATTTACTCGCAAGGTGACCGACACCGTGTCCCCCACCTCACAACAGTTCAACAACTTGCAAATGCAGAGGGGTGATGTGTGGAACCTGAAGCCATTTTTATCAACCGGGTAACAAAGCTGGATTTGAACAGGTCTGTTGCAACTAAATCTGAGTCCACCCTGGTACGTGTTGTAGGCAGTCCGGCCTCTGCGGCGATTTCCTCCAGCCAGGTTGGGGTTATTCTGAAAAAAAGAAGTGGCAGCGGCCAGGAAACTCTCCCCTTGAGGCAACAGGGGCACTCTGTTTTCCCCGTGAACCAGGTTTCCCCGATCTCACGACACCGGCTGCACAGCACCCTGAGAATCTCATCCTTTACTTAAAACAAAGAGCAAGTTTCTGGTCCTTTCTGCAAAGCTTGAAAGATCATGGGTGGAGTTTAGGGCAGCTGAGGGGATTCAGCAGAGCCATCAGTCTAGCAGGAGTGAACTTAAGTGCTTTGCCCACTTCCCCTCTCCTATGGTCAACAAATTATGTGTGATCAATATATGCAAATTTCTGAGATTTGCATTGTTTCTTCCGATTGCACAGTTTGACCCATCTTGGCACAACCCTGGAATGTAGGTGGGTTTCGGCTTTTAAAAATGTGGCCGCGTGATCCCTTTTTTAGATGTCACACAGTGCCAGGCCCAGTTGTGCATGGATAATTTTTTTTCAGGAGACTTTATTGTTGTAGAACTTTTCCCACTTGGCTAAAAACGTAGAAGGGGCTCCTGCAGGATACTAGCCTGCTGTGTATATGCACGCAGTGGAACTTCCCGTGCTCGCTCTGCTTCACCCAGCCTCTCTCCAGATGTTTTGGGCCCCCGTTTCCAGCATTCCTAACCGTTGGCCCTGCTTCCTAGAGCTGGTAAGAGCTGAAGCCCAAAACATGGAGGGCCCCAGGCTGGTGCGGGCTGGCCCAGCCAGGAAGGCCGGCTTCTTAACCTGGTGATTCCAGGAAACGGTGGAGGAACTAAGTGTGGGGAAAGCCACGGTGGGTGCCGAGCAGACTTGGGCTTCCTCCTCAACTACGGCCCATAAGTGATGGTAATAATGATGGTTTTCACATTTTGCAAAGTAGCCCAAACATTTACAGTCTGAGAAGCGATTAAAATAACCAAAACCCCACACAGGGGCCTCTTCCTTGGGTGGTAACAGCCTTACACTGCTGTTCTATGCTTGTTTGGCATGGCCTGGTCCCCAACAAGGGCATCAGATACGTTGTGCTGAACGTGTGTACCTACAAAACCGATGGCAGCTGCATCTGTGCCCGCTGCTCTATGGGTCTTACTCCCAGGGCGAGGAGCGTCCCCGCATAGCAGCGTGGAGGGCATGTGGCACAGCCACCTGGTGGGGCTGCGGAAAGGTGGGCCTGAGGACACCTGGACAGGCCGTTGCCTGGGCAGCCCCACTCAGGCGGCGTGAATTCCGTGATGACAGGGAGGGAGGGAGGGGTACGAGGGCACCGGATAAATAAATATTGCGAGTCTGATGGAAAACAGGCCAGCCTTTATTCTATACCTTCTTCCCAAAACAAGGTCGCGCTTCATTAATTTACACTGGGCTGGATTGTGAACGTCTTCTGACAAACAGGTCTTTTAATTTCTTCGAACAATGTTCACACTGTCCTGAAGCGAAGTCAAGGGAAATCGGATGCTTTCGGGGTTGCGAACGAACGCTGCTGCCCCCGACCGTCTTGTCCCACATTTAATGAGCTGGAGCCGTCCCTCTTGTTCGGTATCTCTACCGTTGCTGCCAGGTGTCTTGTTCTCTCCCAGCACTTTAATTTTGCCTTGAAGCCCCAGGCGCCCTCCCCAACCATTTCAATTTTGCATTCAGCAGTGTTTCTTTTGTTGAATTGACGGGGTGGGGGGTGGGGGAAGACGGGTGTATAAGGATGTGGTTGGAGTGTGAGGGTGGGGCGGGAGAAGGGAACGGACCCATTTGAGGCTATTCAAGTACAGAAAGGCACAACTGAGGTCCCCGAGTCCAGCCGGGTCCTGCTGGTTCATCTCTCTTATTACGTTTTGTGTGTGCATGACTCCGTCGATCCTCCCGGTCTTGTACGTGACGATCATCTTTCCCTCGCTGTTACTGCCGCCTTGTCCTACGCCTGGGTGTGTTTTGTGTACGGTTATCACTTGTACGTTAACACCAATTAAAAGAAATGGGAAGGCTCTCTTGCAGTGTCTGCTTCTTTGCGAGGCTTTCAGGAGAAGGAACTAGCTAGCAATGTTCAGGATTAAGAAACTGGCTTTGGGATCCTAAGGAACAGGGGTCTTTCTCAGCCAGCACTTCGCTTCCACGGTAATCAGCCAGAACCTCTGCGGTAGCTCACTTGCAGGAGGAAAGTACAGGAAACAGACGGTTCTTTGCACGTCACTCTAACTACCCCGGCAGTGAGTGACGAGGGGTTGGTTGCGTCCAAAGCGATCCACAGTGAGCCCAACTGAGGACGGGTGTGGGAGAGGTTTGTGGCTAGCCACGAAGAGCTCAAGCTAGCCGCAGCCTCACAGAAATACCGATTTCACAGGGTCAAAATAGGTACCCTGAGATGAGATGAATTTATAGTTGACCCTGGATCCTGCAGGAGAGCAGGGAAGCAAACAGCCTGATCTCAGTTGTTAGGGAAAAGAATCAATCGGTGGAGCTGGCAGCTTGGTCAAGAGGACATCCTGTCCTCTGAGCTCTACGATGCAGCGGTCCTCCTCCTGCAAAATGTAACTTGTACCCCCTTTTTCAGACATTGCGCCTCCAAAGTGTTTTTAACATGGGTTGGCAGAAGGTAGATCAAGATGTAGCAGCAGATCCTAGTGATCAGGACTCGATCTGCAAAGTTTGACTCCCAGTTTCTAAGAATTGCAAGAATTAGAAAGCATTTCTCCCCTAAATTAGATGATTACAAAAGAACTGTTGGAGGGAAATAGCAGTGGATTTTTCTGTGGAAGGATCTGTGGTTTCGTTCTGGTACCGATCATACATTTGTGTGTTTAGAGGCATCTTGTTCCTCAATTCTGATCAAAGGTCCGTCTGCTGCACCACTGTTCTGCACCCAGTGGGCTTCCAAGGTCTATTAACACCCCCATGGCTTGAACAGCCAAGCTGACTTGGGAAACAGGCCCATGTCCTCTACCCACAGACAGATGATTCCCTGAGACACAGAAGGTAATTCAGATGGATAGAAATTTATATGCTTTGATGAACAGATTGTAGTAGCACTTTATATTGTACAATAGTGTGGCATTTGTTATTTGGAGCATTGGAACTAGAGCAGAAGTGGTGGTTACGGGGGAAGAAGGCATGGCGACCGCATCCTTTAAGGTCAAAATCAAGCCAAAGTTAAGCTGTTCCACTGATCTCAATGGAACAAAGTTAAGTACGCTTTTAAACTTTCCATTGAAATCTGTGGCTTACCTCTGCTGGACTGTCCCGTACAGCATTTTATAAATACTTTACAACACCTTCTATACCAATGATAGGAGATTCCCACTGAGACAATCCTTACATGAATTTCTGGTTCAACAAACGGTACATAGCAAAACCCAAACCATTTACATCAACATGCCCAGCCCTTGCTTCTCAAGGGCCTGTAAGAGTTTGTGGACAACCCCTCCCACCTTTCACAGGTGCCTCTTTGGGAGGCCTGCTCAGTATGCCCTCATTGCAGGACAGTATTTTCCATCCTGAAGCCCTGTGGTTGCAATCTGCCGTGTCTGGACAGCAACCGGTTTGGGGACAGCTGTTCTCCAGGGATGCCTCCAGGTAAGACATCTGCCCAAACAGAGACTGGGGGTGGGGATGCTGTGGCAGGGGAGGCAGAACCGCCCCCAGAGGGCAACAACACCCCCCTTAATGAATGATGCTTGTGGATTGCATAAAGCTTTTGGCATGAGTGGCACATGGGCTCGCTGCTACAGGAAGCAATCCAAGTGGAAGAAGGACTTAAACGCCTTAAGGCGTCACATGTTGTTGCAGATTCCAGCCAATAATGCATAAGCGATTCAGCAGCCCCGGCGGAGGTTAATGCTTTCCCGCGTGTTTCTGCTCTCCGGGATCAGGGAAACCTCCATTCCTTCGTGTTTCTCTACGGGCAGCGGGGCACGCATGCCTCAGATTCTAGCCTGGGGCCCTCCCTGTGCTCCAGGCCTACAACTCCCATGCTTGCCAAGACTACTGGGAGTTGGCTCCTTGCCATGTGCCACAGCTGGGAGGCCAGTCCAGGCCCCTCGCTGCTGCCGCTGCAGATCTCCCACAGGCAGAGGCTGGACTGAAGGGCCAGGAAAGCTGCAGTGGGGTGGCCGAGGGGCCTTGGGTGTTGTGCAGGAACAGTCCTGAAGCTCAAGCGCATCTGCAAGGCATCGCAAGGGTGAACCTGAGGGAGGACCGCATGCCAGGTCCAGGGCTATAACCAGAAAGGGGCCCCTGCCTAACCCTTGCTGGCCAACCCACAAGAGTGACCAACACCAAACTATCGTGGCGGGGAGGAGCTACTGGTGGTTTCCCAGGACAAGAGGGAACACACTCCGCTCTTCATCCAGATTTCTACAACTAGCAAAATTCCGGGGGCTACCCTTGAGCTGTTCCCTGCCCTGAAATGCAGGCAAACAGCTGGAATGCACCAGACTGAGTAGGTTCGGCCTCGATGCTGCAGTTTGCCCATCTGCCTTGGAGAAGGAGGCAGGAGTTGTCAAGAAAAGCTTTCGCCAGGTGCTCTCCTTGTCGTTGCTGGCCCTGCTTTCCCCCCCTGGGGCTTTCTTCTGTTGCCACTCACCCCTCTCTCGCTCTGGGAAACCTGCTTTCTGGTTTCACCACAAGGGAGTTGGGCTGGGTGAGGAAACAAGCTGTCGGTCGTGATTCGAGCCCTTATGGGGCAGCCCGGAAGCAAAACGGGAGGCAGCGAAGGCATGCGGCAGCTCTTAGACCCACGCCCTCTCCTGACGCCCCCCCAAAAGTACATCCCCGGAGCGCATAAGTGCATTTCAGAGGAACGAGCAGGGTTTATGCCTGTTCTCAGCTGGGCAGAACACCATCTTTGGCACGCAAGGGTGGGGTCCGACCTGTTACTGCAGCATCCCCGTCCTCATCTGGAAGGAAAGGCCGTCTCCCCGGGTGGCTTGCTGTGAACGAAGAGGCGGCACAGGTCACATGCCTTTGCAAGAGCAAAGGAGCCCCAATTTATAAAGCTCAGACATAGGAGGATTCGGAAAGCAGCTCCGCTTTCTTTGGGAAGAAAAGGGAAATAGGCAGCCCACAGGGCGGCAGAAAAGAGAACTGAAGCAAGAGGTAGAGTGAAGTCTGTCCATCCAATCCTCCCTGGGTACGGGGAATGCCCTCATGCTTGACAGACCTTACTGCCCTTCTCAGTAGGGGAACCAAAAAGTCTAGTCTATAAAACCAAAGAAATAAAGACAAGGGGACCCACCTAGGCAAGTCCAAAAGCTAGAATACTGCCAAGGGAAGCGGAGCCACTGTTACCGCATGACTAAAGAGCTCTCATCAAAGCTCAGCTGACCACAGCCCAACCTGCTGCCCAAAGCACGACCTTCACCATCCTCAAACCACGCCCCAGCCCTTGTCCCGTTCTGAAATAACCAAAGAGCCACATGCCTTGTTAATTTCTTTGTGTCTCTCCTTCGTAACGATCTCTTCAAGGACTTCACCGTCTCCCTTGATGAGCCTGGAAGAGAAACACAGGGCTTCCAGCTAGCTTGCCCAAACTGAGTGTCAACATGCCCACGTATTGTCAATGCTTGGAGAGCATCAGCTGGTTAAAGCCACGAGAGCACAATGACCTTGCTGACTCTGACCAACTGGGGATTCCACCAGTGGCCACACAGACGTCTCTGGGGAACCCAGAATGAAAATGATCCCGTCAGTTTACAGGAGATTCCATGCAGGGGGTGATTAAGAAAAGGACCGAAAGCAAAAATGTCAGTTGCATACATCCCTTACAAAAGTGGAGCCAAATTTGTCGGCTCAAGGACCAAATTCCATCTCGAAGGAAGAAAGAATTAAAATTCAAGTGGCTCATCTTTCGTGGACTGCTTGGGCCATGTCTTTTATTTTGGGCCAAGAGGGAGGGGCCATCGCTCCCACCTCTGTTCCGGGTGGGCGGGACTTCCCCTGCCCAGAGATGCGATGAGGGCGAATATGCTAAGAGTGCAAAGAAACCTTTTGTATTCACTGTGCTTTAAATATGCCAATTGTCAGCACAGCCATTTTCTACAAATAGGTTGCCTACGAAGGAACCCGAGAGGTGGAAATGTGCTAATAGGTGCTTGCTATGTGTGCGAAAGCACCAGAAGAAAACACAGCTCTTCATCAAGAATACAAACGCAAGAGAGAAACCAGCAAACTGGACTTCGTAAAGGTATTGCAGGGACCCCCGCCACCGCCGCCTCCACAAATGGCACCTGGTCCGTCCGGTTTCTGGGTCAACGACTCTCCTTATCACACTCTGGCGCGCGTCCCATTCCTCTTTCGTCATGGGCTTCATGGCTTGGATGCGGGACTTCTGCTCATCTGTCAGGGCTAAAAAGTGGACTGCAGTCAGAAAAGGCTCCAGTCTCCAAGTCAGAGCACCTGAGGCTACCCTGGGTAGTCCCCTGACACCCCTGCCGAGAGAGCAAGCCTTACCCGGCCCAGGGTCCGCCCCCGCCTCCTTCTGCCACTGCTCCAGGGATGGGCCAGGCAGCTCCTCTCCTGCCGTCTTCCCTTCCTTCTCTTTCTCCTTCAATTTCTTCTTTGCTTTCTTTTTGGCTTTCTTCTTTCTTTTCTTCCGCTTTTTATCTTTCTCCTTGGTCATCTTCTTCTTGCTTTGCTTCTTTCGTTTGGATTTGCACTCATCTTCACTGGACTCTTCCGCAGAGGAGTCTGAGGAGGAGGAAGATCCAGAAGATGAGCTGGTAGTCTCAGAGGAAGAGGAGCTGGTGGTGCTGGCTTTTCTCTTTTTCTTGTCCCTTTTCTTCCTTTTAACTGGAACCCAGCATTAATTAGACACAAGCAGGGAGTATCTATCACATGGCCAAACGGCTCCAGAGCTATCATCCAAGGAAGCACGGGAGGAGTTCTCTTTTCTAATCCCAGTGTAACTGCACTGGCTATTCACTTGTAGGGAAGGAGGGAGAGTTCTCAGAGAGTTCCTTGCCCATGGGAGGGCAGGGGAGCCATGCACCTTTCCAACAAATTATATAAGCAAGAACACGGACTTACTACCCAAAAGCATACACCCACGTTACAAAAGCTGGCTTTGGGCATGACACTTTCACAGCACACCTGAGAGATACAGATTTGCATGAACCCCCTCCCTGCCAAATTCCCAGTCCTGAAGGTCCCGGTAAGACATTTCAAGGAAATCAAGCCAGTGTTTGTTTTCAAAAGGCTGTAGGAGGAACTTCCTCACGCCGCTAATCTACCCAAGACGGCCAGCTCGGCTAATGGGGGTCTAGGGCAAAATGGGAGCAGCAGCTGCTATGCCCCTCCTCATCCCTGGAGGTGGGTCAGGGGCTGCACTGGCCCACAACTTAACGCTCACTGTCCAGCACAGCCCCTTCTGAATCTGCCCAGGGACAGACCCACAACCATGAAAGCCAGCGTGGAAATAGCCCACGCTCTGATTCTTACCTTCTTTGGCAGAGGCCGAGTCCATCCGAGGCCCTTGCGATTCAGGCCCTCTCTTGCCGGCTGGAGACGGGCTCTTCCTGCTGCGGGAGTCCTTGCTGCTCCTCCTCCGCTTCTTTTTCACCTTCTTCTCCACATCTTGCCTGCTCTGCGACTCGCTTTGGCTCCTGCTTCCAGATCTCTTCCTTGCCTGGCTGTGAGCCATTGCGCTACCTGGCCTGCTCCAGGCAAGTAGATTTTTTTATCCCTTTTAGAACAGTTGTGAGCAGAGGTCAAGACGACTGGTCGCTACACTGCCCTCAAAGATGCAGCCTGATGTAGATTCATAGCCACTGTAAGTAGTCCACTAATCTTTTCTTAGCCAATTCGGTAGCCTGCAGCAAGGAGTTCCATCAGTTAATTCTCTCCTGCATAAGAAAAGGAAGCACTTCATTTATCCTAACCCTCATAACTCCAGTCCATGAACATATATTTGTTGGCTAAAAAGTGCCACAAGACTCCTTTGTTTTTCTTTTAAGGGACACTAACCACCCACAAAATCTTCCTCCTCTGTAGCGTCATGATTAAGAGCAAGAGCTGTGAGCCAGGAAATCCTCCAGTCAAGCCTGTTTTCCAGATTAACCCTAGCTGGTTAGGGGGGATGCTGGGAGTTGTAGTCCAACGCATTTGGAAGGCATATGGTTGAAGATGGCTGATCTGAGGTGGGCTGGCCTCCACATTTTGTGGCAGGGAGTCTCATAGGTTAACCAACTCCCCATTGTGTGCAGGGCTACTTTTCTGTGGTGGCGAAGGGCACAAGTGAGTTACACAAGCGAACACTTCCTCTGTGGCACAGCAGACTACCGTGGAAGGCTATTGAGAGGATGCCATGGGGAAAGGACTCATTGCATGCACTCCTGACTACTTTGTAGTTGCGGGGGGGGGGGGTTAAAGTGTGAGATATGCGCGTTATTTCCCTTTCATTAAAGAGCCTCTTGATGAGGGTGAAAGGGGGGAGCACACAGGCTGGCTTGGAACTCTACATTAAGAAAACTAAGATTATGGCATCCGGTCCTATCACTTCCTGGCAGATAGATGGGCAAGAAATGGAGGTAGAGACAGATTTTATTTTCCTGGGCTCCAGAACCACTGCAGACGGGGACTGCAGCCAAGAAATTAAAAGCTGCTTGCTCCTTGGGAGGAAAGCTATGGCAAATCGAGACAGCATCCTAAAACGCAGAGACATCGCCCCGCTGACAAAAGTTTGTACAGTTGAAGCTACGGTTTTCCCAGTTGTAATGCATGGCTGTGAGAGCTGGACCACAAGGAAGGCTGAGCACACGAGAACTGCCACCTTTGAATTGAGGTGCTAGTCCCTGGACTGCAGAGAGATCAATTCTTGGCTTGGAACTCTACATTAAGAAAACTAAGATCATGGCATCCGGTCCTATCACTTCCTGGCAGATAGATGGGCAAGAAATGGAGGTAGTGACAGATTTTATTTTCCTAAAGGAAAGGAATCCTGACTGTTCTTTGGAAGGACAGGTGCTGAATCTGAAGCTCAAATACTTTGGCCACCTAATGAGAGGAAGGTTGAGGTTGGGGTCACTGGGGCGGTGGGCGTGGGGTTGGGGGGACTCCGGGGGATGCTGGAGGGCAGGAGAGCCTGGAGGAATGTTGTCCATGGGGTCAGGATGGGTCGGGAGCGACTTTGCCACTAAACCACCACTGCGTCCCTTCAACCCTGGTAAGAATCACCACCCAGGAACAACCCAGCCGAGAAGCTGCGCGGCTCCTTTAAGAAATGCTGGCAGCTTCCGTTGTCCTTTAAAGCCTCATCGGCCAATCCCAGCGCCCCCGTCCTCGCCCACCCGCTTCTTAAGCCCCGCCTCCACCGCCTTGCCAGAAAAGCTCCCCGCCCGGCAGAGCGCATGCGTAATGAAGAGCAGGCCGAGGGAACCGTTGCGGACACAATTGTGTCCCTTTCTGCCAGACTCACCAAGTGAGGTAAGGAATTCGCTGCCGAGGAGAAGGAAAGAAACGCGGCGCGGCCTGAGAAGCGCCTCGGCTGGGGCGAGCTCTCCACGCCTCGGCGGCAAGCCCTCCGCCTTGAGCACCGAGCGGGCAGGCGCCCCCCCTTTCCAGCAAGCGTTTCGCTCGCTGCTTCGGCGACTTCCGCTTTGCTCCTTGCGTGTTGCTCAGACGCGTCCGCCGGGAAAACGGAGGCTGCGTACTTTGGTTCCCCCCATTCTGGTACCCTAGGCCACAACAGCGTCTCGGAGTAAAACGGAAAGGGAAGGCAATGCAGAGCCTTTCCCGCAGCTTCTTCACTTCGCTAATAATTTTTATTTCTTTTAAATATCTTTATACAGGTTTTCTGTTCAAAAGGTCCGAAGTGGCTTACAACAGCAAAATCTGTCCGTGGTTACCTTTGTCTGAAAGGTGGGCTCTGCGTCTTTAACAAGAAAATATTTTAAGCATCTTTTGTTCCTATTTTTCAACTCTTAGTAAAAGTATGCATTTTCTAATCACTTATGTTTTTACCTTTTTCATTCACTGCCTAACTTGGTGTGACATACTTCATCCCCGCAACAATTTTGTGAGATAAGCTAGGCTCAGGGCCAGGCTGAACTTCAAGGCTGAGTTAGAATTTGAGCACTAAACAAACAAGTTAGAACCAGATTCCTCAGCCCCAGTCCAACACCTTTAACCATGCTTTTGCTTACGCCACACAGTGTTTCTTATAATCAGTTAAGTTCTTAGATCAAAGGCAAGTCCTTGGAGCCGTTTCTTCAATTGTGTTAACATACTATTCAAATTCAGCAGGCCAGAATTTCTACCTTGAGCGATCACCACCACCATCCTAGCTCTATGAAAATATTTGAAAATTCCATAGAATCAGAAGAGTTGCCAGGGGACATTCAGGCTATTAAGTCCTATTCCAAGCAGAGTGCAGAAATTCAGTTTAAAGCTTTTTTTTTTTTTTGACGGATAACTGCCTATTCTCAGCTTCCAGTGCATATTTGTTATCAAAGGTGCTTTTATGCAGTTATGGGAAATAAGGATTCAGTCAACCATCAGTGAGAATATGTGTCAAAATACACTTTTGGCAAATGGTAGAAATGAGCTATAAGGTATTTTGTTTCAAAGTACTAATAACTTTTTGGAATATGCCCATAATCTGTTGTCTCGCTTTGCTCACAAAGAACTAAAACAATGCTTGGAATTGGTTCTCCTTTTAACGGATTACTACTTTTAATTAATAAGCACATGCAGATTAATGGTCAAGGCTGAATTTAAGCTACAGAGGCTCACACAGACATAACAAACATGTAAGAAGCACCCTGCTGGATCAGTCAAGGGTCCATCCTCTTGCCCATTTTCCCCAGTGACTGCTGTATATACACAGATGTGCTGCCTTTGATATTGCACATAAACATAGAACCATCAGGAGCAGTAGCCTCTGATAACTTCCTCCTCCATTCATTGGTTTGATCCCCTTTTTAAAGCCATCCCAACTGGTGCCTGTAGCTGCATTCAGTTCCACAGTTGAATTCCATGTTGGTTGAAGACACGAGGAAACTGGCCAAAGGAGTGGAAGCTCACATGAAACTGAGTAAGGCAAGGTGGGTAGCTGGGGAGAAACATAAACAAAAGGATGGTGGCATTGAAGTTTGGAGGTAAGAAAGAGATGAGCTGTCAGCTTGATTCACATTTGGAAGAGGAAACTTGCTTGTTCCAATATGTGTTCTAAAGCATCAGCAACTGGAGCCCCCCCCCCCCCCCCCCCGCATCTCCCTTTTGGCCACCAACAGAGCCTCCAGTCCCAAACAGCAGCTTCGCCCTGCTACATTGTCCGCTAGCCCCCTTTTCTCCTAAGCTGGCGCCCAAGCAGCTGGTTAATTAAAACACACCACACTCTTTGCTTGGCCCATGTAAGCTCCTTATAGCTACCATCTTTCCCTCCTGCCACTAACATCTTTATTGAAGTAGAGAGGCATTGCCCTATGTTACAGAGCACACGTCCACAGTCTTGGTCTGTTCGTCTTCAGGACTCCTGGTGAACCCGTCTCCAAATCCCTCGGCGTCCACCAATTCAGGCTCCCTGTTGCACATGGGACAGAGCTGGTTCCGAATACTGGATGCCCGCATCCAGACAATCAGGTTCCAGCGCTCCCCGGAGGCGATGGGCAGTGCTCCATGCATCTGCCCTCCCCTGTGCAACAATCCGTGGAAAGGCACGTGTTCGACTTCGATGTATTTTGGCACAGGGTTGGCATCCTGAAAAAAGAATTCAGGGAGATCATACCATTAGCTGCAACCTTTGCGAGTGCTGCCAGCAAAATGAGATGGCCTTGGATAAGAATATGAAGCAGAGACTATTGGAATATTTTTTCACGTGGCACACCTTTTTGACACATGGACTTCGCCTCCACAAGCTGACCAACAGCTTAAACTTTTTTTTTTAAGAAGTGGACTGGAAAAATGGTGGAAGAGCCCAGCAGTGACTAAATGGAACCACACTCTTCTGCAGTATGCCCTATCCAATAAAGGTCGCTCGGGTGTCTTTCTTGGTTGACCAGCAAGACTGGTGACATGTCCCCTTTGTCCCAAGTCCCATTAACTAGGGATATGCGGCTGTTATATGGGCAGCTTCCATGCAGTTTTTGTCGCTCATAAGCTGATCAAAAGCTATCCTGTCGGTTTGTCTAACACTTCCTCTTTAAGACAGCTAACCTTGAAGCCGTCATATTTTTGTAGCAACAACTGTGTGCATTTATTGCTCTTACTATATTACAAAGTGTATTTTATTTTAAAAAGAGGGAGACACCTGCTTGAATTCGGCAAAGTAGAGGTTGCCTTCACTGAAGTCTTTGCCCAAGGAGACATTAAGTGTCACTTCTGCATTGTCATAGTGGGAGCTCAAATCGAGATCTTCGTGCAGGTTATACTTCACAACGAAGGCTTTGTGGCTGTCCAAACAGCTTCCCCCACAATCTGGGTAAAGCAGCGCTGTGAGGGGCTGCAAGTATTTCTCCCGCAGAGGTGTGATGACAGTTTCATCCATCCCAAGTTCATTTAAGAGAACCTACAAAGGATGATGTGAGAGAAAGGTGGGGTGTGAGCGAAAAAGAAAAGGGGAAAACCCCAATGGAACGCAAAAGATGAAATGGCTAACAGAAGGGTTGGGCTATTTGGCAGTGGCTAGCTTCATACAACACAACAAGCCATGATTCAACAACAACCCATGATATCCCATTTCCTAGTTATCCTTGTCTACAAAATATGACTCTCACCCCATAGTTATTCATAGAGTTGGGTCTCCCCTTGGGCATCTCAGACTGCTCAAAATTCTCGAGCTCCTCAATGAAAGCCTGGCAGAATTCCTTGGTGAACAGTGGTAAGCGATAGATTCTTTTCTCTGATGAGAGGAGGGAGAAAAACAAAAAAATGAAACAAGCTTGGTTGCATGTGGAAAGGAAAAATATTTACCAAGTAACAAGTCAGGAAAGGATTTTTTCCCCTTATACAATGGGGGAAAATGGTTCCTCCTCCTTTTTCTGGGAAGGTTATCTTGCTCAGAGGTAGAACTTCTCATGAATATCTTTTGAGTTGCCATGCAGGTCCCATGTTTTATCCCTGCCAAACTCCCGTTTAAAGAATTTCAGGTGCCAAAGCTGAGAAAGACCTGCCTCTGCCCAAACCTTGGCGAGGCTCTGTTTCTACAAGCCCAGAATGGGCCAATGGGCTGACTTCATACAAGGCTGCTTCCTGTCTCCAGGTGAGCCATGCTTTCCACTGAGCCGTAAAATACTGTTGTCTATGTGGCCTTGCAAGCAGATGATGCATCTGAGCCAGAACATACCTGATATGGCTTCCACACGGCACAGGACCCCTTGGAGCGTAGCATCTTGGGATGTGCAGTATTTGACTGTTTCTAGAAATTCTGGTGCCAGGAAGGATTCCTAATGTTGGAGGATAGTGGCAAGGATAGAAAATCACCGTTTTTTGCAAACAATTTACGTTCAACGGGCCTTTCCTGTGCCTCAGCTGGAGGGCTGTTTCCAGAGAGAGAAGAGCAAAGGTCGTGGGCCTGGGCTTTTGGCTGTGGTGTCCTGGAAGGGTTGCAGGCTCAACTGTTCCCTCCCCACACACCTGCACTCTGGCAGTGCCTTGGCTTTTGATCCCTCCACCCCAGCCGACAAATTCCGACCTTTATTTGAGGGTCACGTGAGCACCAACACTAACCAGGATTACAGTGACACTTTTACACCAACCTGGAAGGAAGCAGGCCCCCTGCTCGTGAATGTTTTAAAAACTGAGAACATTCTCTCCATCCACTTCCAGCACATTGAAATGTGTGCAAATGCCATGAAGCAAGTTCTTTACCTGTAAAGTATACAGCTGTGGATGCCGTGGTCTGTAGCTCTGGGAGATAATTCTTTTTCTTTCTCTTGACCGGAAGCCCAGTTCCTTCCTCCTCTGCACTTCTTGTTCAAGCTAGGAAAATCCAATCTGATGTTTATTAAGAGGTAATCAAATGGATACCAGAGAGATTTATCATGCTGACCTTCTCTAAGCATACTCGGGGAGGACCTGGGCCCTCTGATACTTAAGTAGCCAAACTTCACAGCCATGCTATTGTTACAACTAACACACATAACATACATTTAGTCCAATCCTATCCATTTTCATTTGGAAGAAAGTTTTGAGAGTCTGTAGGAGCTGTGGCACGTCCATGTGCCAGGGTCTGCAGCCCCATCATATGGTGACTACTCTGGAAATTATCCTGTATCACCGTCAAGGTTCACAAAGATCTGCAAATCCACAAAAGGGTTGTCTCTGTGGGTTAGTATCTTCACTATTATCCAGCTCTTGAACCCTCCTAGGGCCCCTGAAGCAAGAACTTCCTTTGCAGACCTGCAATGGTCAGGGACCAGAAGCGATTGTCCAAACACACCAGCATAGCCCTAGTCACATTGTACCTTTGTGCACTCTGTAATTATGAGCTGCTTTGGTTGAACAGCAGAGTATAAAATACATTAATCAACAAGGATTGAGTTAGTTTTCTTGCAAAAACCCCAACACCCAGACTGTGAAACTGCTGTACCTCTTCAATTACTGCTTTGAATTCTTCCTCGCTTCTACAGCCACGTTGTCTTAATGCCTGCAGAATACAGAGATGCCAATGGCATTTGCACACTCTATATAATCAAATACAACCCCTGTTATTTCACAGTAGAAGCCACTGTTTCCTGCACCAGCCTGCAAATGTCCATAAAAATAGACCAAGGATTCAAATAACACAGAGGCAGATCTTGTTTGTATAAGTCCAAAGATGCAGGTTTTTTAAAATAATGTGTATACCAGCTCTGAAAACAAAAATGTGGATCTCTCTTACACACATCCTGTGCATGTAGAAATAAATCCCACTCAATTCAACGGCACTTATTCCCAAATTCCAGCACGGGAGTATAGTTCTACATACCAGTCTTAAGCATATTTGCTTGAAAGTAAGTCCTGCTGTAATATGTCCTTTGCTATTTAATAACTGCAGGTTATTTCATTGTCATCCCTTAAATACTTTATTTGGAAGATTTTATGTTTCATTGTGTCTTTAACTTGCTTTGAAGGCCTTTGGATGGGGGAGAAACAGCTTTCACAGTTAAGGAACAGGTCGGTCCCCAAATTAGTGTGCCGAGGATCAAAGTGTTAAAAGTGCACATGTACTCAGATGCAAGCCCCACTGAGTTTAGTGGAACATTCTAGAAAAAACAGTCTTGTAATACTTAAAAGATTAACACATTTATTTTAGCATATGCTTTCATAAACAGTCTACTGTTAGATGCAGGAAGCATTAACTTAAGCTTTGCAAATTTATATACTTGTCATTGTTATGCGCCATCAAGTCATCTCCAACTTAGGGCAACCTGGTCAGTGAAAGTCTTTCAAAATGTCCTGCCTGCTTGGCTCTTGTAAATTGAAGGATGCTTTTCTGCCTAACTATGCATAAAATTGTGCCTTTAATAAACACATGCTAAGTACTATATGTGCTATATAGAAATCTTGCTTCATTTTGAAACAATCCAAAATGAAGCAAGATTTATATCTAGCACATGTATATTAGAGGCATGATTCAATGCATATTTAGATGGGAAAAGTTCTGCAACCCCCGCACTGTTCGGCCAGTTACACCATAAGGCCTTTTTTCTGCCTAACATACAGAAAAGGATGGGCCCCTAAATCTATCAATCTGAAGTTGATACTCCATGTATCTGAGAAAGTAGAGAGCATGCACGAAACATGCCAAAGTAAATTTGTCAGTCTTCACATGCTGCAAGACTTTTTTTGTCCTATAAGACTAACAAGGCTGGGAATCGTAAGCCTTAACTTTTTAAAGAATGCTCTGCCGGAACAAACAGTAAATATTTCTCCCGCTCCTCCTCCTCCTCCTCCTAGGTCGAGTTAGCTCATGAAACCTGGTTCTAACCCGGACTGACAGCTCCAAAGGGGGAGTGTGTCTCCATCTAGGTACGTAGAATTTCCACCCGCCTTAACTACCCGCGCTGCTCGCCATTTACCGGCCCGTAATCCCTCCGCAGCTGCTCCGGATCCCCCGCGTAACGGACGTGGAGACTGTAGCGCGGCACGAAGAGGTTGTCAGTGAAAAAGCAAGCGCAGGCCCGAAAGCGACCCCCGCCCGGCCCCATGCCTCCCCGCTCCATGATTCCGCCCGGCCCCAAAGGGGGTCGGACCACAGCTCCAGGGGCAACGGGTTCGGCGGCGAAACCGCCTCGGTCAGAAACAAGCGTCCGGCACTAGGGAGCGTCAACAAAGTACAGAGTAACGTGTAGGGTGGAGAACACACCTTCTCATCTAAAAAAGAAAAGTCTAAGCGAGTGGCCACAATGACAACATCGTGTGATAACCACCATGCAGCAGTGTATTGGACTCGTCTAGTCATAACTGTAGGCTAGTCACAGCCAGACCGACCTCACAGGGTTGTTGTGAGGATAACATGGAGGAGATACACTGGTTCCCTTAGAGGAAAATAAAAGCAGGAATAAGTATAGTACATAAACAGCGATTATTCCTTGAACTGAAAGAATCCTTTGGCCTTCCCGCCACATGCTGCAGACAATTGCCGCTCGGGCGTCCAGCAGTTACGACTGGGAGCAAATATGCGGCTGCAGCCGAGCTCATCCGCTGGGCATATTCGGGGCCGCTGGTTTCCCATTCACCTGCCATTGCCGCGGCTGTTTCCGGAAGGGATGCCGGAGCGGGACGGGCAGCTCGCTTCCCCGCCGGTCCCGTGGCGGGACCGCCCGTGCAGCTAACGGAGCCCCGCGGGGCAAGGCCTGTCCGCTGCCCCGGCGGGAGCCCCCCGCGCCCCCGCTGCCCGGGCGGCCTTCGCCTCGCGGGGGTGCTTTGAGTATCCGCAGCCAGCCAGCCAGCCAGCCAGCCGCGGGCAGCGTGCGCGGCGGCCGGGCGCCGCGCGGGGGTGCTGCGGCGAGGGCCGCTTTCGCACGGCCCCTTCCGCCCCAGCCTGGCAGGGCGCCCCCGGCGCGGGGAGGGAGCGCCGCCCGGGAGGCCCGGCTGCAGGCGTCTCCCCGCCGCGGAGCTCGGCGCGCCCGGGGCCCGGGGCCCGCGACCGCGCCCGCGCCCGCCTCCTCCGGCGGGCCTGCGGAGCATGGACTCTGCGTTGCAGGTGGCCGAGGTGGAGGTGGTGGTGGAGTCCTCGGGCCCCTCCAGCAAGTTCGAGGACATCTTCCGCCTGCTCTCGGAGGGCTCCTTTCCCCCCAGCTTCTGCTCCATCAAGAGGAAGAACCTGAAGCGCTACGCCCAGAAGTTCATGGTGGAAGGTACAGGTGTGGGCGGGGGGGGGGCAGCTTTTTTCGTCTCGTGGCCAGCTGCAGCAGGGCTCCCACGGGGGCAGGCAGGCAGGCATTCGAAAGGTGCAGCTTTGCCCGGTCGCAGGGAAAGGGGGAATGCTTCCCAGGTGCCCCACCTGGTCGGGGCGGGCGGGCGGGCAGGTAGGTGGCTACTAACAAAGCAGCAGCGGCGGCGGCATCCCGGTTGCAGAACCAAGGGCTGGTTCAGAGAAGCCCCAGAACTAAGCCCGTCTCTGTTTTACTAGCAAAGGACTGAAGTCCTCGAAACAGGCAGGTATACTGAGAGCGGCACGCTCAAAATATCTGGAGATCTGCTTTCTGCCTGCCTCCAAAGCGGGGTGGACAGATGGTATTGGACTCCATCTCCCATCAGAGCAGCCAGCAGGCTGCAGCATCAAAGATGATCAGAGTCGCAATTTAAGGCGATGTGCGGGCACCCAGATGCCCCACTCCCCCTCTGAAGGCTCAGTGACTCGCTGTTTTAATTTGAGGGTGTTTTGTGGGATTTGTTTTATGAAAAATGTGGTGTTGGGGTTCCCTGTTAGGGACAGAAAGCAGTATAAAAGTGCACTAAATAAAAACCTATGATGCCGTTGTGTACATTTTGAGTTCTCTTTCTGAGAACGCAAGCGAAATGTTTCAGCTTCCTTATCACCTGCACTGAGCCTTCCAAGGTTTACTGGAAAGCAAATCCCATTCCGATCAGTGGTACATACCCCCCAGGAAGTGTGTTGGCAGTTGCAGCCTTAATAGCCATGAATTCCCTTGACTGAGGTCATTCCAAAACAGGCTTGGGGTTTGTAATCCCGTAAGGTCAAAGTCAAGGTAAAGGCTGCACTGCGGGTCTCTTGAAAATCAGTAAACAGAGCGAGACTTTTTTAATCCTCCTGACTCCACCTGTATCAGCCTTAGAACTTCAGCAGGGGTACGTGCATGTGTATATATTGAATATTCTCTGTAGAAATGGAATAAAATAGATAAAAGAGCAGTAGGAAGGGTGCTGTGAATCTGGTTGGCCACAGAATAAACAGAATGCCAGCCTAGAGAAGCCCTTTTTCTCATCCAACAGAGCTCTTCTCCCATTCTTACGGGTTTTCTCTATGAGCCCTCTTCCTACCCACCCTCCCTGAACTACATTTCCCAAGGTTATCTAGAGAAATCATATAAACTATACAAGGAGCTTTGCAAAAAAAAAAAAAAAAAATTTGCATTTTGAAAACTTTTTTTTAGGGTTTCAACTTTTTTTTTTTTTTTTGCAGCTTCTCCTCCTCCAAAATCAGCCTGCCTTGTGAAGCCTCTGAGGAGGCTCAGTTTGCATTGATCTGTTTTAAATTCAACCTTTTATATTTTTTGGGTTTTGCACCCCAATTTTCTGCAAGCCCTTAGTCTTCCCTAGTCCCCCAGATGCCTCTTGCCTGTGTGTGGATCGTGGTCTTTTTGGGATCCGTACTTGAATCATGAGCTGACTATTGGTCTATAGGGTGACTGGAGTGTAGACAAAACTCGGAGAGCCAAATATGAATCTTATGCTAAATGTATCCTTGCATTTGTTATGCCTGATTGTTTTAAATAGTAGATGTACTCCTTCCACCATCAGGATTATGGATAAAAGCCTAACTCTTTTAGGGGGTGTCATGCAGAGGTGGGTAGAAACCTGTTTTTCCATGCAGAGGAGGGCAGGACAGTTTCCAATGGAGCAAAGCTTAGGCAACGAAGGTTCGATTTGGAGTACTTCCTGATAGTTAGGACCTCCAGGGTATTGAATGGGCTTCCACGGGAGGGGGTTGAAACCCCATCGATGAGAGTGTTCAAGGATAGGCTGGACAGCACATGGTAGGCATGTCATGAGCAGAGCTGGCTGGAACTATGGGTCAGTCTAGATGGCCTGGGAGACCCCTTCTGACTTGCTCTGTTTTCTATGTTTGTCTTTTCCCTGTGTTGGAATCCCAATTAATCCATGTTTGTGCAGTTTTTCCCCATTCTAAAAAGTCAAGACTCCTCTGCTAAGATTTAATTACTGGAAGAAGCGCTTTAAGTTAAGGTCCTGCGGTATTTCTGGTTTTAGCCATTTGGCCTTCAGCCTCTAAGATCTTATCTGAGATGGAATTTTGGCCTTTGGGAAGAAAGGAAGCTGCACCCCTGTGTTAGCATAATGACTGTAGGGGCAGGAGTGAAAGTAGGGCCTGGGCTAGACAAAGACTGCTGCGGATGCTACTGGGCTGGCTATTAGAGTTCTCTCTCCTGCTCCTACAGGCGGTCGTCTCTACTACGTGGGTCCAAAAAAGGAGGAAAAGCGAGAGGTGGTGGTCGATCCCGAGAGGCGTCGGCAAGTCTTTCTGGAATGCCACTTCACAGAGACGGGGAACCACCTTGGGCAAAAGAAGACGGTGCACCAGATCCAGAGTCGGTACTACTGGCTGGGCATCGTCAAGGATGTTGTGGACTGGGTAAATGCAAGCAAAACCTCCCGAGGCCGCTGGAATCACGCCTTGCTGATCAGCCATGGTGTCTGAGCAAGAGCTCAGGCTGCCTTGTGCTTGATTGGGCCTTTCACCATTCATCTAGCCCCTGGCAGCGTGCTGGGCATTTAACGGAGCCTGGCTGGGTGCCTCCCTGTTTCGTTTAAGCCTGCTGTTTCTCCCACTCTCTCTTTGTGCCCAGATCAAGATGTGTGAAACCTGCCAAAACGTAGAGCACAGCAAGAGCCTCTCGAAAAAAACCCGGCCCATCAAAGTGGAATCGCCTTGGGAAATTCTAGGACTGGATGTCTATGGTAGGTTTCTGTGACGGAGAGTCATCCACACTCACCCGTCTGCTGCTGGATGTTAGAAAAGCATGAAGCTGGTTCTAGTTGATGCAGACGGGTGGTGCATTTAGCCCAGTGCCTTCTAGTCTGACAGCGGGTCTTTTCCGGCCCGGTCCATGATCCACTGTCCAGCCTGAGAGATGCCAGGGGTTCCACCCAGGCGCTTCTGCCTGCAGTCCTTCTGGTCCTGCGTGTTCCTCTGCCCTTTCTCAGTTCCTCGATGCAATAGTATGTGTTAGGTTGTCTGACAAATACTTATTAATTTTGTTCAGTTTCTTGGGACTTTTGATACTTTCCCCTCCTGGTCCAGGCTCACACAGCCATCCTAACTTGGCTCCTTATGCCAGGTGAGATCATGCTCCTCTTCAGGGTGTGAAGCCATGGTCCTTCTCAGAGATTTAGGGCAGGTTCTAGATCGGACGGGAGATTCAGGAGGACAGATTGAAGGAAGCACTTCTTCACATAAGGGGCGGTGTGGCATTTGCTTCTACAAGGCGTAAGGATGGCCACAACCTGGATGGCTTTCCAAGTGGATTAGAGAGGAGAATTGTTTCCGGGTGTGTAATTTTGATTGTAAACACATGTACAAGCAGCAACAGGAGTTAAGGTGGGCCATGTGACTGCCCGATGCCTGGAAACTGCCCAAGGCGTGGCATCAGCAGAGCAAGGTATGAGAGGAAGCCAGGGCTTGCTCTCCCGGCCTCACCAGACATGGCTCCCAAAGCCTGAGCCACGCTGGCCTCTCTCTCAGCGGGATTCCCTTTGCCACTGTCTTGCGCTTCCTGCCCCTGTGCTGCCATCATGGCGGCTGACTGTGCCCGGTGGGTTTGCTTCCCTAGGACCCTTCCCAGAGACGGCCCGGGGCAACATGCACGTCCTCACCGTGACGGACCACTACACGAAGTGGGTCGAGGCCATCCCCCTGCAGAAGAGAGACCCATCCTCCGTGGCAAAAGGCCTGGCGTCCCTCTTCTACAGGTCTGTCCCCCCAGCTCCTTTGGCATGGCTTGCGCAGGATGAGGGCG